CTCCTATTTATCTTTTCAATAGCCATTATTTTATGTAGAATAAGAAAGTGGTAATTTACATCAATTCCAAGTTAAATGGTTTGCACAAAAATCTCTATATTTTTGCTGAAAGAAACATTTGTCATATTAGAATAATAACTTCCTTGTTTCAAAATCAGTCAAAAGGTGTTTGATTCATTCTGAAATGTTTTGTTAGGACATCATTGCAAAATTCCAATTACTATGATTCAGTATTCTGCTAATAAGTGAATTTCATTTAATTCACAGGCTTTTTACTTAACATTAATCGAGAAGTTTCAAATGCTTTCTTAAAACTACTTGAACTTAGTTTGTAACCCTTCAACTGCGAAATCATAGCAACACTTTGTTCGGGTACTGTTTAATCTTCTCAATAACTAGCTTACTTTACCATGAAAACAACTTACATCAAAAACAGTTAAGGAGATTTACAAATGTATCACCCTTGTTTTTATTAAAATAGATGGAATATCCTTATCTCATGAATAAGCTTGACTTGCAGTCGAAACAGATGGTGAATCATCCTCGAGTAGCTTTATTTTTCATCAACACTATCCGATGCATGATGTAATACACGAGCGTTATATGAACTCCAATTATCATCCCCTTATAGAAAAAACCAGTCTGTTAAACTAAAATTAGCACAAATAACCTTGTCCAGTACTTCATTAGCTTTTATATCCTTTGGGATAACTGTACTGAGGACACTAACAATCTTGGTGAGGGAAAATAACTATAGTGAAAATTAAATTTCAGGATACCGGTAGCTAACTGATTCATAATACTAAATGGTGAAAATAATCTGATTCAGCGGTTTCGCGTCTTATTTTAATTATCGCAAAGAGACAGTCAACTCTATCTGTAAGTTTTTGTGAGCTCAATAGCTGTACATAATTTGATAAATCTTTCTGTAATTCTAATGATTCCGTAAAGCTCATTATTCTTAAGTAATACAAAATTAGGCCAGTAGGATATGATTTAGAACTCAACAATCTTGTAGTTATTTTAAGCTTCTAACCCCACCCGCAACAAATTAGGACTAATTGAACTAAGATGAAGCTAAACAGGTTTATTTCGTATTCCGATTAATGAAAGCCAGGAGATAACGTGTTTTCAGTTATGTATTTACACACCATGATGTTACTTATGGATCGTTTAGTCTTTTGCTTTGTCACAGCAAATTTGAAAATTTAAGGCCAATGAGTTCAAAATAATTAATTCTTTGCTATTTCTGGGCATAATTTTGATGAATCGATGATACCTACTGACACCTCTTCTGTTGAGATAATTCAGTCTTCTAAGAATGAGGGTTGATCTGCATAGAGTTAAAGTCAAGTTACTTTTTTGTTCACTGTGGTGGTTTTGCTAATAATTTTTTACTGTCAATTTTCTGAACTCGGTGTCGTTGTGCTAAAAGTTTCTAGCGTTAATTGTTGAAGGGGTGAGTCTGCATTGTTCTGTCGAGTTTGCAACCAGATTTCAGGCCGGATTCAAATTTTCCGTTCATCGCAACTCTGTACAACACAAACTGATGGTTTCTGATATTTTTCTCTCAGTGTTTATGACAAATATCTTTTTGGGTAGTCTCTGGGGTACAGTACATGGCTGAATGAACAATTGGTCACTTTCCATTTTGGTACTTCTGTATACCATTTTAGATGGCGGCTTCTAAGTTTGTACCCAGTTTTCGAAAATTTCATAAATTCTGTCAAGAAATCTTCTCTTTATATTGCAGAATTCTTTGTGGTTTCAAATGAAGTAAGACACTTTTGATCAGTTTCATCTGGCATTCCTAGTACTCAGGGTTTGCGCGAATTTGCGAAAGGCTTCAATTGATGACTCGATTTCTAGTGATATTGTGGTGAGACTTGGTATGCAGTATTGCTTTGAAGGGTGAAGTAGTTGAACTGAAATGAGGAAATCTGCAAGTGACTGTCTCATTTAAGAGTTTAAGGAATCCTGTGGTAAATAAAGTTATCAAGGCATAAGCATATTTTCAGCTGAAGTAGCTCACCACAAAGAAAGATTATTTCCGTCGGCAATTTTACGGTATCGGATAAAATTAAGTATTTAATTCCGTTATGTAAACAAAACTACTCTATATGAGTTCATGACTAAAGTATTTCCAGTTACATAAAGCGCTGAAAATGAATTTCCACTGAAATTTTGGCGAACAAGCACCTGAGACCATAATATTTATGATTCAATAGTTCATTCATGACAGTGTAAATTTAAAAGGTAGTCCTTTCTATCAACATAACTCACAATCTGTCTTGTCATCAGAAATTCGATGAACTATGGCAATGAGTTGACTTGTAGATGTGAATTAGTTATATTCGATTCAGCAAAACATTCGGAGCCGTTAGGTGTATTAAGTACATCCTCAGGTAGTGAAAAGATGACGATTAAGCATGTGGAAAAGAAAAATAATTGCCTAGACATTACGAAAAAGCACACAAATTACTGGTGAAGGTGAGCTAAGGCACTACAATCATTTATTGGATTTTCAGACTACTACAAAACCCATTTTAGTTACCCATTTAGTTAGAGCGTTAGCACATATACTTTCGAAAATGATAAAATTGTCTACATTACCAACACAGAGAGGACTGAAATTTCCTACTAATGGTTGATTCATGTAGGTAAGATAATGCTTCAGATATAAAATAAATGCGTAGAAGTAGCTGCCTGGTTAGTACAATGCTTAGTACCTGCTTCATGTTTGAGTTAGTTTCAGTACGAAGACTTCCTGTTCAGACTGTAGGGACTTAAGTGGGTCTTGGACCACTTCTTTTAAGTATTGTGTGCGGATAATTATGTGCTCAGAATGACTTGTACTCTGAGCTAGGGCTTTATCTGTCAAATGTCTCGATGTGCTGCTAGATGTCGCCAACAGTGCATCAGAACTTCACAAGGAAGTGAAGTAACTGTTTTTGCGTGGATATTTATAACATGAAGTTGCATGAGTGTAACCTCACTGGTCACTTAGTAAGTGTATCAAAGCATGCTGAACGGGATTGCTTGATAATATAACTCTAGTTTTCTCTTAGGGGTGTGCTACTATATGACCGGTAGGTTTCTTTTGTTTGCTTACAATACGCTCTGATCTCTTTGTTATGATTGGTTGACCGTATTTATTTGAATGAATCAATGAAAGTTACCTTATTTTGATTGGTCAACATTTTCGTTTACCTGAAGTAACTAAGGTTGGTTGATCTTATTGGTTGACTCATACGTATTGAAGGGCAGATGCTTCAAGTGTGCTGACTGATTTACTGAAACTGAAGGAGTGTTATTTCTACTGCTGGTTGATTAGATTCTACCGAGAGGAGGGTTTCTTCTGTATTAATTGGTTGAGTACAGAAGTTTGACTAGTTATGCATAAGTTATCTTGATCCGATTCAGTTGACTATCTATCTCCTTTTTCTTCGCGTCGAGGGTTTACTCGCATTTAATTTGTTTCGAGTAGGCTCATATATCGCCTCCAGGTCAGTGTGGTGGTTTACTGCTGCTTAACTTGTAAGCCTCACCTACAGTAATTCTCGGGTCTGTTTCGGTTTTGTACATTCGACTATTTTGAAGTTAACTCAGTTAAAAGTGTGGTTGTCACAGTGTACTGAGATGACAGACTTCATATCATGACGTTTAACACCCGGTGTGAGTTCATGTAGATACTCTAATGGTAGTCTACTTGACTGTTCTACGCAGTGGTGTTTGCAGTTATTGCAACTGACTCTGAAGATAACGTTGATCATTTCCCCTTTTTTTCACTGAACTTTTTGGTTTGGATAGGCTATGTTGTAGAGACTTTGTTGGTTTATGTGACACTATGATTCCAAGTGAATGCACCAATCCCGCTGGCGCTTCTGACATACTCTTGATGTTTGGAAGGATGATTGTTCTGCTAATTTTTGCAGTCGATTTTGACTTTTTTGCTTGGAAAGACATCTCTTGGTGAAGCATGCTTAGGATAGTTTCTCTTATTATCTTGTGCTCTGTTGATGTAAAAAAGGCTTTGGCATCGAAGGAGACCATTGGTTCTTCACATATTTGATATCTTCGACTTTGTTTCACAATTAATCATCAGAAAGACAAAAGGTACTGAATCCTCCCCACTCAGAGTTTACCATTACTTGGTACATGATAAAGGTTATCTCCATGTACTGCCGGACCGTGTTAAACAGTTATAGTTGTTCTTCGAATATCTATTAAAATATCTGTACATTTGCCAGAAGAATTTATACTCCTAATTCGTCATTTGTAATGTACAGTACTGTCTGCCAACTTATACTCCTATCACAGTGGATATGTGCTGGAACGTGAACAAAAATATTTATATGGCATTCAAAAGGTATATTCTTCTCATTAATATAGGAGTAAAACTTGGGCACTGTGGTCGATTGTAATTCCATTTTAGTCTGTTTATTAGATATGTCACACAGTGAAACAGTATCATTTACTGGATCCAGTAAATGATACTGTTTCACTGTGTGACATATCTAATAAACAGACTAAAATGGAATTATATTCTTCTTATATTACGGAGAACCAAACTGCCTTCTTACTTTAACTGCAAGAGTAAGAAATAATTTGGTGTGTTTCGCTACTAACAGATTCTATTCGTAATCAACAATCCCCAAGTATCTGACATATATTTTGGGCGAAAAGTTGTATGACTTCTAATTTAAATTCAGTGAGGTGTGTTTATATACTTAACTCCGGTGTTCGTTCATTTTTCAATTCTGGTTGTATTTCACATAATCTAATTACCATTGCCAACATTCTTGAACTTTTGGTGAACAAACAGTAAATTCTAAGCGTCAGATTATGTTTAATTTTTATCAAACGATTATTCGTCCGACTAACCCACGAAATATCCAATATACATAGTATGTGATCCTAACGTACTGAAGTACTATTTGAATTATTAGTGTATTAGTGAATAAATTTTAGATAGAAAGTTTATGTATAAATGTATTTAGTCTTTCAGATGCTGCAGAAGAAAGGGATAAGTTGCTAGAATTTCTGGAGAAAGAAAAGGCATCTAGGAGTGTTCTACAAACTTTGCTTGAAGAGCAGAAATGTCGTAATGTTCAGTTAGAGGCTCAGTCAGTGGTGGCTGAAGAGAAGGAAATTATGCTCAATGATAAGGTAATCTAAACTCTGATATCTCAAATATTGTATATTTCGATAACTGTTATCTCATCTATCTTTGCTAATTCAGTTGTCGAAATACTCAAAATCAAGAAACAAGAATCTAGCACTAACATCTCAACATTAGCAGCTTTTGAAGAGTCGTATATCAAACTCTAAACATCTTGGTGACAATTTCAGCCAATAAGAAAATATTTTAGTCTCACGATTCATATTTGAGTACATTAGTAGCAAGTCTATATAATAAAATATTAAATAAAAGGTTAAAATGTTGGTGATCATAGCCATCTAAGTGGTCACACACATTTCTGCATATAAAGATTACTTTTGATAAGACTGAGTGTATTTTGTCGTTCTGTGTGCAACAGGTGTAGTCGTTATTTATGGAATAAGTTGGAAAGCATGTATCAACAAACGTAAACCCTTCCCTTATATTAACCTAATAACTAGTGTTATCTGTATGTTTTAGTATGGAATTTTTCATCGTACTCATCTATCCCTTATTCAAAAATATGATGGCGGATTTGCTCAACCGTATCGCCTATGTAGCTATTTATAAAGGAGCTGTTCCATTTATTATTTCAGATAGAAGTTTCAGAGGTTAGACTATTAAAGTAATTGTAAGCATTAAAATTTCAGGCTGCTTGAAACCGATAAGAAGCAGTGAAATAAAATGCAATCATTTTTTTCGCTAATTCCATTGTTTTTTTCGCTCTGTTTTATGGTAATCAGACTCTACAATGATGTGACCTTATTCTCATTCGTGTAAAAAGAAATTTAAACCGTTAAAAGTACTATTATTCTTTCAGCAAGGTTTTTATAGAGGTTTTCAATTAGGTCTTGAAAGCTGTTAGAGGGGATTTAAGACCGAACACAACGCTGTGCTGCAATGTTTACACAGTTTCTACTTCTCCAAGTAAAACCCAAATCTCTGTAGTTAGTACTTCAAAATGATCTTTTCACTGAGCATTACAGAAACAAAGAAATCCTACTCTGTTTTATGCAACGTGAGACAATTCAACTAAAATAGAACCCTTTGTAATCATAGTTGTAAGTTTCTTTTCTGAAAAGACACACATAGCAGTTCTCTTAGACATTCTAAACGCATATTCTTTCAGATATTTAAACTAGAGAAGCAACTTAAAGAAAAAGAGCAACAGTTCAAAGAGCTCATTCAGATAGTTTACGATTATGAGGTCTGTTTGTGCACAAATATTCGACAATTATTTTTTATGCAGTACTTGCTAGAGGAGAAGCAAAATCAGGTTGCACAGAAATCTCAGGAATTGGTTTTGGTAAGTTGAAATCTTTCTTAAGGTTGTTTGAATGCAGATTAAAGATGAACTCTGTCAGTTAAGGACGAAGATAAAAGATGCTGATGAAAATGTAAGGTGTATGCTGCATTATGTAAGGATTTTAGATCACTTCTGTACAAATGTCTAACTCCAATGTTGATCAAACTGAGGAAAATGTCCTACCTCATTTTATAGATGAAAGGTTTGTTATCTCGTTGAAAGCATTTTTTGATATATCACTTTCAACAGTTTATGTTGACTTACACATACTTTACTTCCACTTAATGGTAGTACGCTGAGACAATTCCCTTTAAAACATCCCATACAGATGGGAAACATGAGAAATCCTATTTTTCCAAAAATAAATCACAGTGAAGCAGTATAATTTAGTTCACAATCTTTCGTTTACAATTCACTGCTCGATTATGTAATGGTGACTCATCACTTTTGGAGACCTGATTTCTATAGTTGCAATCGTCCCTGTTCCTTTGTAGAGTATTCACAATGAATAACCAAATAATTAACTCGCGACTTAACTGAATGTGGTTAGAAATTATTGGCGTATGTCATTAAAAAGGAAGAAAGTAGTCGTTAGTTTTGTAATGTGTAACCGGACCGTCAAGAGTTCAGAAACAGCTCTACAATTTCTAATCAATTCCTGGTACAATCAGATGCCAAAGTGAAACTCTAAAACATTAGACCTTCGACCAGGTTTCAGGAATGGTCATTGGTGTTTTGATCACTTCTTCGCTCTCCTCCAGATCTTGTAACATAGGAACACTTAGATGGCCCCTAACATTACTTTCAGTTCTTTACGGGAAGGTGACATTTAAATGTGTAAAAAACAGGTCTTATGGCTATATATACCAGCACTCTGCTGACGGCTGTACATTTGAAAACTTGTGGTAGTTTCAGAACCTGTGCTAAAGTACCAAGTGAGTAATTTACGTCTGGTGGCGTACATCAAGGTTAAGAACTCTACCTATTTTTATCTAACTTTATCTAACATGCTTTTGGAAGTTTGTCTTTTATCTTCTGAATTCGCATGGATTATTCCTGTTGTAGGATAAATAAAGTAGACGCAAATGCTCAGAAAACGTTACTCTGTTGGTTAAAGTTGTTGACAACCTACGAAACCTTCTGAACACTTCGAGGGACAAATCAAGGATGTTTGATGAAATGTGTATCTCACCACTCAAATGCAACTTATTGCTGCATAACTAAACTGCGATAGTATATCAACTGGTAATATTGATGAAAGTGGTTGAGCGTGCTGGTTTCTTCCCTGGTCTTGGAAATATGCAGCATAGTTATTAAAGGTCGAGGAAATAAGAAGACTTCAGATGTTGCCTTTGAAGCACACCACGTATACGTAAGGTTGTCGATGTACACGTTAGGTGTTGGGTTTTAGGCAAAAAGAGTAAGTCAGTTGATGAGATATTAGGCTGTCATCAAGTCAGGTATTATTATTATTATTATTAGTCCCTTGGGTTCCTAGTGGAACATAGGGCTTCAGTAGCACGCCTCCAGTGACCTCTGTTCTCTGAGATCTTTTGAACCTGGTCCCACGACAGCCCACAAGCTCTCATTTCCTCCTCGCACGACCTCCTCCATGTCACCCTCGGACGTCCAACTCGTCGCTTCCCATGGGGATTCCACTCGAGGGCCTGACGCGTGATGTCCTCAGTCGGCCTTCTCAGTGCATGGCCAATCCATCTCCACTTCTTCCTGCATATTTGTTGCGTGATAGGTTCTTGGTTGGTTCGTTCCCAGAGTTCCTTGTTGCTTATTTTTTCTGGCCATCTGATCTTCAGCAGCGAGCGTAAGCAGTTGTTGATGAATGTCTGTAGTTTATTGGAAATGCCTTTCGTGACGCGCCAAGTCTCTGAGCCATACAAGAGCACTGACTTGACGTTGGTGTTGAAAATCCGTATCTTGTTCCGCATGCTGAGTGCAGAAGATCTCCACACTGGTTTCAGGCTAATGAACGCCTGTCTTGCTTTTCCGATTCTGACTTTGACGTCCTCGTCCGTCCCGCCTGTAGTTGAAACAGTGCTTCCTAGATAAGTGAAGGAGGTTACTTCCTTCAAGTTTCTCCCGTTGACGGTGATTGGAGTTTGTTGTTGTTGGTGATGGTGGTGGTGCGGTATCTTCATCACTTCTGTCTTCTCTATATTCACCTGAAGTCCCGTCTTCGCTGCCTCTTCTGTCAACTTGTTAGTTTTTGCCTGCAGATCTTCAAGTTTATGTGACATTAGGCATAAGTCATCGGCGAAATCCAAGTCTTCTAGGTTCTTTTCCGTCGTCCAGTGTATCCCCCTCTTCTCGCTGCCTACTGTTTGCTGCATGATCCAGTCCACCACAATAAGGAATATCATGGGGGATAGTAGGCAACCTTGTTTCACTCCTGTCTTCACTTCAAAGGCATCACTGAGCTTCCCATTGTGGATTACTTGGCATGTGGCATCTTCATATAGTTGTTGAATGAGGCGGATAAAGGTTTGCGGTACTCCGTAGTATTGAAGCAGTTTCCAAATTACTTCTCGGTCGACGCTGTCAAAGGCCTTCTCAAAGTCGATGAAGTTGAGGTAGAGAGCTGATTGCCATTCTATGCTCTGTTCTATGATGATACGAAGCGTTGCAATTTGGTCTGCACATGATTTGTACTTCCTGAAGCCTGCCTGTTCCGGTCGCAGTTTTGAATCCAGTGCGTCTTTAAGCCTCTCCAGGATGATGCGGCTTAATATTTTACTTGGGGTGGACAGGAGAGTGATTCCGCGCCAGTTCTTGCAAGCACTGAGGTCTCCCTTCTTCGGCAGTTTGACAAGGTAACCCTTCTTCCAATCGTCAGGTACCTTCTCTTCCTTCCACACCTTCTGCAATAGTGGTGTGAGCATGTCCGCTGTTGTCTCTGCATCTGTTCTCAGTGCTTCTGGCGGTATTCCATCTGGTCCTGCTGCTTTCCCGCATTTCAGTAGCTTTATGGCGTTCAGGACTTCCATTTTCGTTGGGGGATTAATGTTCACTTGTAATTCAGCGGCTGCAGGTGGTGGTCGATTCAAGAGCTTCTTGAAGTGGTCGGCCCATCGTTTCCTCTGTTTCTCTTCTTTTGTAATTAAATTTCCTTCTTCATCTTTTATTGGTTTCATCTGTGTTGGTCTCTTCCCTGATAGCAACCTGGTTATTTGATACAATGTCGTCAGGTCTCTCTTACCTGCAGCCTGTTCTGCTTCACTTGCCAGTGTTTCGTAGAAGTGTCTTTTGTCTTTGCGTGCACTCTTCTTCACTTCTTTGTCCAGTGTTTTATACATTGTGCTCAGTTCCTCTTGTCGTTGAGCATCCTTGCACTGGTTTATCTTCTGCTTCACCATCCTCCTCTCCTCTATCAGCTTCCAGGTATCCGTCGAGATCCATTCCTTGTCTTCTTTCTTCTTCCTTCCTAATACTGTTGTGCAGGTTTCTTTCCACATAGCTTTCAAAGACTTCCAGTGTTCTTCCACACAGGTTTCTTCAGGGATGTTGCTCGATGTCTCCCATTTTGTCTTGATGGCTGCCTTGAAGATCTCCTTTGTAGTTTCATCCTTCAGTTTCCGAGTGTTGTACTTGAATTGAGGTCTATCACCAGCTTCCTTGAAGGCTTTTAACTTGATTTGGAAGGTTCCTTGCACTAGATAGTGGTCTGAACCTACATCTGCTCCTCTTCTTGACCTTGTGTTAAGTAGACTGCGTCTCCATTTTCTTGAGATTGAGATAAAGTCGATTTGATTTTTAGTGTGTCCATCTGGTGAAATCCATGTCGCTTTGTGGATATCTTTGTGCCTGAACACACTGCCTCCAATCACCAAATCGTTGAATGCGCAGAATTCTGCAAACAATTCTCCATTCTCATTCATTTCACCTAGCGCCTCTCGACCCATGGTTAGTTCTCTTCCCGTGTTGTCCCCTCCCAGTTTGGCATTCATGTCGCCCATTAGAATTTTGATATCGCCAACTGACGTCTTGTCCAGTGTTGATTGAAGTTGTCTGTAGAAATCCTCCTTTTTCTCTTGCTCTGCATTATTTGTAGGTGCATAACATTGTATGATTGTGACCTTTCTTCCTTTTGAGTTGAATCTTGCTGTCATGATCCTGGAGGAGATTGGTTCCCACTGCATGAGAGCCTTCGATGCTCTTGAGGACATCATGATAGCCACTCCCTCAGTGTGCTCGTGGTTGGCGTCTGGGTGACCGGAGTAGATTATTGATTCTCCAGTTGACAGTTTGGAGAGTCCACTCCCATTCCATCTGCTTTCGCAAATCCCAAGCACTTCGATGTTATACCTTCTCATCTCCTTTGCAATCTGGGCTGCCTTACTGGGTTCAAACATCGTGCGGACATTCCATGTCCCCACGTTTACTTTCGCTTTCATCGAGAGAAGACACATCGGCCAATTGGCTTCCCGAAGGCTTTCACCAACTGGCGTCATTTCGCCTCTCCGATTCCAGCGGGGAATAAGTTTGTTTTCATTTTTATATTTTGTTTGTGCTTTGAAGTTTCTTTAGCGGTTAGATTTGTTTTACGGGGTAGGGTTGCTAGCCCTATGCCCAACCTTCCCTCTTTACCCGGGCTTAGGACCGGCTAGTAACTAGTAAACTAGTTAACCAGGCGAGGTTAGGTCAGGTGGCCAGGGTATATTCCAAGTATGCCCACTCACCATCTGCCTCTTTGCTAAATGTTAGTTGAAGGAGGGTTAGTCTAGAGAAAAGTAAGGTTAACGAGACTTAAAAGTCATATCAGTCCATGAAGTCCATGACTGCTGGTCTCGGCCGTGTAAGTAAATGCAGTCTTTCAAATTAAATAGTCAAAGCTGATGGTTAGAGACTCCAAGTGATATAGTTCGTAATAGATAGCAAAGCCCCAGAAGCACCTGCACTTTATCTACATCTTACTCATCATGTCAGATTTCATTATTTGTCTAACTCGTTCTTCATTTCTTTTTACAACTTTCTATGGCTTTTGATTGTATTATAACCATTTCAGTCTCTTTCTTCTCATTGCCTTGTACGTCAAAGTTCTGCTGTTATGTATGACAGCCTAGACGATTGCACAGTATAGCCAAGTTTACAGTTGATATTGATGCACTTTCTGATATTTACCTAGAGCATACTAACGGTTAAAGTGTTTATTTTTCATTCTTACTATGCTTAGCAATCATGAAAAGAAGGTGCACAAAGACTGAGTGGATCATTCAACCAAACTAATGATCTGCTTAGTTTTTTTCAACCATTTAAGTTGTGAAAACAATCGTTGCTTTATTCAAAGATTAAGATCGACAGTAAAAAGTCTTCCAATGAATGTATTGTTGTGAATCTCCGTGCGTAATGAAAATTGATTAACTTCTAGACAAAATTCTGAGGAAAGTGTTCATCTTGGCACTCAAACTCATTTCAGTTTTTAATTTAAGGTATACCATATGTATGTGGCAGTTCCATCTACGACATTTCTTAAAAGTGTGAGAACAGCTATTTAAGCGAAATCGAAAGTAAACAAAAGCGATGTTACGTTAAAAAAGAAACACTTTTGAGTTGAAAAAAGTAGATGTCACTTTGGTACAGGAAGATGTCAGTAAGTAGCGCTTTCAGTCATTTCTAAATTACCGTGTTCACCAAAAGTATCATTCGTGACTTAAAATAATAATCACCGACATAACTGCGGTCTGTCGACTCTAAACCTTCATTTACTCCGTATTCTCGTTCTCAAGTTTGGTTTTCAAAACAATAAAGCTAAGAGGTTTCCTGAACATATAATCATTTCCTATGAAAAACGTTATTCTAACTCGGCTATGTAATCAAGGCTTTAAGAGAAACTACATTTTCAGTTTAACAGTTCTTTAAGGAGCAATGTTGTTAGCATTCGCTACCAGTGCTTGAAGGCTACTTTATATTGTCAGTTTTATCACTTGTGTTGAAGTAACAAATGATAAAAATGAACTCTTGCAGTCTCACTTTCTAATTAGTTGATTCAAAACGTAACTTAGGAATGGTCAAGCACACTGATCAGCAAGTAATTCGAATCATTTTGTTTCAAAGTTCAAGCATCCACACAACCATCAATTTTATATCATCTTGCTTTCAGTCTACTAATTAACCATTGGTCTATCAAAACTGACCATAAAAAATACAGCTTTCATGTCAGTGATAACAGAGTCAACAACTGAGTCTTATTATACCAACTTGTGAGTTGAAGTCAATTATTGAGGTTCATAGTAGACAAGATACAACCGAACAAAATATCTGAATGAAATCTAGTCCATTGTATGCAATTTATTCATCAGCATTACCAAGAAGGACTAACAAGCGCTCATGAAACCTTTCTCTACAAGTCGAGATCCACGGTGTAACGAAATATTTGCTCAATCATTTCGTTTTTCCTCATCTGGTCATTATTCTTACGTATAAAATTCGGTGTTTTTCATTATTACTTTGACATTCATCTGCATATATGTCCTTGTTTCATGCATCCTTTTTGTCACTGGGCTGACCTCGGTGTTTTGAGTTATCAAGCGGATGCTTTCACAAAACTATTCTTCAGAGCGATATTCCTTACGACTACTCTGAAGCCATTCTCATTGCTTAAGCCAGCTAACTTCAAAGCTCGGATGTTGATGCAGATGATGCTACAGATAGGTTCAGTTAGGACTCTGAAAAGCTTGGTAGTGGCATATGATTGATCTCAGAGGCCCACATTTTTGATCCCACTGAAGTGCTTTGGATGACTCCTTGATCTATCAGCTCGGAAAGTTTATCACACTACACTTATCCGGAAATCCAGTGGTACTAAGGGCCTGCCTTGATGTTGTTGGTATCTCAAAAGGTACCAAGACCGAGGCTGTACTAAATGATAGGATGCTAAGTAAAAGTCATTTGTGTGCTGCTATGCTAGAAAATCCCATTACAGTTATAAATAACTGGTAAGGGGAATGATGCAGTTTCGTCCTCCCTGCATGTGTTCCCCCTCTTGTCGTTGTATCCTAGTCGTGAGCAAGTAAAGTGGTGTGCTTAAGTCCTTTATATGACAGATCAAACAGGATTTGGATAAGGATTGCAAGATTTGGTAGTAGAAGTGTGCGAGTGAGGTGGGAGCTGCAGCTGCATCTGACAATAGTCGAAATGTATCCGAGCTCATTTGAGCTACTGGCACCAAGAAGCCTGTTTTTAGTGATGTGATGGTCTTTGAAGTAGGTGGTATGCCGATCACCAGCTGGAACGCTGAGTAAACCACTTCGCAAAGCATCTTAGCTAGCTCACTGTTCCAGAAGCACCAACCTCGATGCACTGTGAGTCATTGTCAGTTAACACTGGTCCACTTAGCGAAGCAGGGTCCGTAAAGAACTTCGATTTCCGAAGCACCATTGGGCACCCATACAACTCAACTCCGGCTTCTTTTCGGGATGCAGATGAGACTGTAGTCAGGTAAGTGGTTACACTTTTTATGAAGGTATGGGAAATTGATAGTGTTCTATCACCATGGAATAAAGCCATTGATGTGTCTATCTTAAAAAATAGTCTAAGTAATGTATGTGATAATCATCGGGTTATCAGCCTACTGCTTGTAGCTCTTAAACTGTTGGTCACCATCAGACTTTGTAGGCTGTATATAAAGCGTGAGAATTTGATCCGTAGGAACAGGTCGACTTTCTTTCATATCATGAATGCATTGGTCACGTGTTCACTCTACGTCAGATGCTCGAACACCGTTACACATAATACCGATATTCCTTGGTATTGTGGCTGCCTTCGACTCTTTGAACAGAGTTTTGCTGTAGAATTTGTCTACTAGAGAGAAGCGTCCTGAAAAGTTAGCTAGCATCTTGAAAGCCGTATACTTCAACAGGTAGAGTGAAGGCAAAAAGCCACCTGTGCCTATTGTTCACGCAACTTACTGACTTGAGACAATAACGGACATCAGGCTGAAGCTATTTTGTTTTCTCTAATATACTACTAATAAAAAATTAGTGATAAGTGTGGAACTTGGTCACCATATATATCTCTCTCAGAGATATGGAAAATTTTGAGACGAATAAGAACAAAGAATATAAGGTGACTGGACAGTAAAAATCAGATGTGGAAAGTAATGTGATTACATTGATATGATTGTGAACAACAATTTATGCTCGAAACGTCATCAAATAAATAATACAGTATCCCTGTGTGTTATAAATCAAGTAAACAATTCTAATAAAATTAGTGGTATTCTGTAATACAATCGTAAGAAAAAGGGAAGAGTTATTTAACTTAGAAAGACTGGTTTTTAATTAAAGTCTACGAAAGCGAATCAGTTAACCCTAAATAACATTGTGAGAATTACTGCTGTTTTTTCAATGAACTGGTAGTTAAGGATGCACACCATCTGACTGCATTAACTTATTACCATAATTCACACACCATATACAGGTCAAGTTCACCTCAAACTGGACTGACTATTGAATATAGTGGCTTAAAATCTCCAGCCATTCAGTCGCACTATGAACCTCCATTCATCAGAATTCAATCTCCAGCTGTATCAGTTCATCAGAAAAGTTTGGCTGACGAGCTTTATGAAGCAGATGTTGATTCCAGAGGAGTTCAGACAACTTCATTCAAATGTGGTGTAGATTTGTTTGGAAAATGTGTACAGTGTAGAAGCTGCCTTTCCTTCCGTAAAGACAATGAAATTGAACTTCAAAATAATCTGGTATGAACTGTGGTTAAAGAATTTAAAACTCGAAACTTATTTTGAAACTATAAATTATCTTACGCAATTTTTCCTATGGTTACTAGTTCATTTATATTCGATGTGTTTTATGAAGCACCACTTTTCGTAATCATTTTATTACATTTAAAATGTTTGCTTGTTTAGTAGGAATAGTATGTAGATTCAAAAACAGGCTTAGTCACTGTCAAAACTTATCTAAAACTCTCCTCACAGAATATGGAAGTTCGAACTTCACTGATTTCCAATCTATGGAGTTCACTGATATGACTTAATTCAGTACCTAACTATCAAAGCATTTACTAAGCATAAAAACATATTACTCTCTGTTACAGTTTAGTGTCAGACATAAGTTTTCGCTCTGATTTCTGAAAGGGTGAGTATGAATGACTTTGGTCTGGTTCTTGAGATTTCAAAGCATTTGGTAAGATAAACGGGGTGATTTTCATCCATACGATTAATTACTTTCTTCATTTCTGTTCCATAAGTTAATAGTTGACCTAAAAATCATTAACCAGTCTAGATCCTAGACATGAACAATCTCGTAAGAAATGCAAAACACAATAATCTTTTTCGTTTGTTGTTGTTAGAGCTAAGAAAAGTGTCTCAGATCAAGTTGATCTTTTCTTTTTAGTTCACTTTGTTTACTTTATAATTTGAAGATTTCCAAAAGTAAAGTTACTTCTTGGTTGCCTTTTCAAAACATGTGATAAATTATTTCCGCGAGTAATACATCACTTGCCTTCTCAGAAAATCCATACTTGAAGAGGTTTATCTTCAGAATGAATGAAATGTCGTGGTTGTATTGTGTTCTCTGAGCTGGATTGTTTAATCGTGAAGCTTTCATCGTCTTGCTAGACGACATCATCAGCACTAACTTCATACTGAAGTTAGACCATCCACCTGAACTACAAATATTCTCCATTATTTCAGAATGAAATATCGCTTATGCAACTAACCTTAATTAGCTTACATTTTAAACATATTTTTCTTTATGAACTTTAATCAAATACGAGGAAGATTCAATGAAAGATTTTTCATGACTTAGTCTGAATTGTTTTTTCTAAACATTAACAAGCAAGTTTACCTTCTACAGGTCGGTAAAAGTTAGTTAATTTGTCACTGTAACAAACTTTATGCACTAAAAATAGATAACCTTTGCTACCGTAATATAATGGCAAAGTTTAAGACTCAGCAAGCCTACTTTAAATCTCTTTTTCTACCGTGAAACAAAATCAATGCTGACAGCAATAAACGCATGGATGAAACATATTTTCCTATAACCTATAAGGGGGTATTGCCAAAATTTTTGTTAACATAATATGAAAACTGGTAAACTTGTACAAGTTTGCATAAAGGTTGTGAACCATACACAAGCATAAAGGCTTTGGATAACAGCTGATAACTCAGCCGAATGAATAATAGAACTGGTTTAAATCTATGGCACACTTGTAGATCATCGGATGCCCATAGGAAATATAAGGTAAGACATAACTGAAATGAAGTCAAGCAGATACAATAAACGTTTAGGCATAAGAAAAAAACTACCGATTAACAAACAATTTTAAATTAGTATAGCTGTTCACTTTTTGGAGTACAGTGATATTTTTCAAGAAACAGAACTAAATGCTTTTCATCATAGGCTTTTTCCTAGGTGATTCTTGTCAGTGGTTAAATTAATGTGATTATTTTCACAGACTGTTTCGCTGTCCCAGGCTTTAGACCTAACCCAATCACAAACGTTTTGAAGAATGTGATAAGACTGCTAGCTGAATAAAAATGACTTCGAAATACAACCGACAATTTTTTTCGATGTTTTTCCGTCACTGTTGTCAGTCAGATCTTGAAATCCAAAAACTGAATAAATATTTCTATCTGGAGGTTTGTAGATTTTTATTAATTGATTTTAGGTTGGAATTCATCTTGGGCTGACGTCATTTGGACAGACAATGAAAACTGGGAGCATTGGACAGCTGTTTCGTCCTAGTATGGGAATCCTTCAGTAATTAATAAACTTCCGTAGACCTCCAAATAGAATTAATCTAATGCTCGTTGGTGACTACTTTCGAGAGATGATTCCCGAAGTTCCAATGAAACGTTGTGACCAGTGGAGTCAACCACGTCGAACAGAAAGACAGTTACTCATCGACGACATTGGATATAGGTCGTGAACTGAAAGGAGTTGAAAATATGGACCATTGGATTCTAACCCAGTGGCTTATTGGTAACGTGCTGGCCACGAAACCTGAAGGTCCTGGATGCGATCTCTGGAGTGGTCATGGGTATTCACTGCCAAAAAGTTGCATACTAGGATGAAACAGCTGTCCAGTGCTCCTAGATTTCCAATTTTCCTCCAACTTATGTCAGTTCATGATGAATTTCAACCTGGAACAAATATTTGTCTAAACAAAGCCATAGTTTCTGTTAGACATTTGCATTATTATTATCTTCTTTGGTGATAGAAAATAAATGATAATTAAGTTTCAGTTACTGATTTTTTTCTGCAACAAGTTAATTCAACTTCGAGCATTTAAAAACAAAATGAAATGTAAAAGGGATTGGTCAGATCAGTTCAGCAGTTACTTGTTGCACTATGGGAAGACAGGTATGAGTTGTCTGCACTGGTCCACGGAAGACATAAATGACGTTACATCTGGATCTAAGAAACATTTTGGGTTGATAATACAGCAATGCTGGGAAATTCTACTGTTGTAAGTTAAAATTTAATAATTAATAATTAATTTATATGTTTACACTTTATATTTTATTTAATCAGATAATCGGTATGGGGAATTAAATTTATACTGTTCACAAAGTTCATGAAATTTCTTAAGCAGTACATAACGGAGAACAGTTTTACCCAAAATGGTTTAGAATACCAAGCGCTATATTTGCATTCATTGCATATTTTTTACGTTACATTTTGAGAAACGTAATAAATGTCCAGATATTCATATTAAAGATTACAGGTTTGTTGAATTTATTACCTCTTGAATTTCCAACAATTTTAAAAAAGTTATTGTACTGTATCCACAACTTATGGCTAAGCGAATCATTGGCTAGAAAACAAGAAAAAATGAATTTGTTCCACGAAGTCATTTACTAGGCTGGTTTACTTCAAAGTATTTTTGTTCTACCCTCGAATTTCTTCTTATCTGTTATAAGGATAATTGTTAAAATAAAAACTAGTTTACTTCGTTCTCAGGTAGAAATAAGTATTAGAATTGAAAAATTATTAGTTTCACTCCCCTCCTCCAAATAAATACCTCATGAACCTGAAAGATTTGTTCAGAATAACTGCGTATCAAAAATACTAGTAAATTAAAATGTAGTCTCTTTAACTCAAGAATAAAGGTTTCGAATGCATCTTGTCTAGAATCGTTTGATTGACATTTCAGAGGCACTGAATACAAAAAATAAATTCTAAGCGCTCCGTTAATACTGAAGAAGCTTTTAATAGCTTAACTCTGAAATTCATCGTTCTGGGAATTTTCTATCTAAAAGTGTGCAACTGAACTGCAACAGCATTGCAACAGACTACTCTTTCATTAATCTAGTTGTCATGAGAGTCTAGATTTCAATTAAAATAGGAGAATAGAAAATATTTCTAACTTATCCTAAATATTTTTGCATTTGAAATTTCTCAGGGCAAGAATATATTTCGAAAAACCACCAATGCCTTTGAATAAAGTCCTCATGAACATTTGGAAACAGTTCCCCAAGGTATGCTTTCAGTCAATATTCATTAATCTGGACATTATTGCTTGTATCTTACAAGTACCCAGTAAATGGGGAAAGAAACTCGCAAATTATCTGTCAGGCGAGAATAAATCCATTCATATGCGCAGCTTGTCGAAATTCATATCCGCTTTCACTCTTTTATCTCTTCATTAAAGTATTCTTTTAACTTTGTAGACAGTCATCAGTGGTCAAGCTCTGCCGAACAGATCATGGTCATCACCAACTATATATGCATCAGGTATGTTCAGAACTTACAAATTTATGATTATGAACATGGAAATAAAAGTAATATTAAACTAGCACAATTTAATAAACTACGAAATGAAAAATTTTTTACTACTTATTATACCATTTTTCATATTTTTATACTCATAGATATTTAAATTTAGGCAAGTAGCACTGTTTTGATTGATTAAAACGAAAACCACATGTTTGTGAATATTGATAGTATCTATCCTAACTTTACTGTTTTTAATACGTCAAATTTTTAAAAAATAAATACTACGCACTATAAAACCATCTGGTTGACTTAGAGTATCCAGATGATATTTTCTTCCGAGTTGAAGACGCCAACAAAATGGACGGCCTCCCGAACGCCTTCAACAGAAATCTTAGTGTTTGGTATGCATTGCATTGGTACCTGTCAAATGTAGCATATAAATAAATAGATAAATGAATAAATAAGTACATTATTCTTAAATTATGAATTCATTATTAGAGAAGCTGGTGTACAGGCATTATCAAAATGATAAATGTACACAAACCTACAACATTTGAGAGGGGCTGAATGGTACAGAATGAAGGACATTCAACCCTGTCATAATAATAATAATGTCCTAAGACTGGTCTGCTGCAAGTACTCCAAGTTTAATGATGAGGGAAATAATGAAATATACCTATCCTTTCACTTACTTGGCTAGTTCTATCAACCCGAACGAGGTGGTTTCTGATGAAATACCAGCTCGGATAGAAAAGACCCGTATGGAATTAGCCAACTTGCGTGATATCCGTCAAACGTCGAGTTAAACGACTGTGAGAGATGGCCGTTAACATTGGAAGATGTGAAGCGTTTACAGGGTTTTGATAACAGATGTCTTCTTAGCATTGGTCGCGTTTAGTGGAATCACCATGTGAGTAGTGTTAAGGTCATGTGAAGGGTACTAGGCAAGACAAGCAAGTCGATTGATGACGTTGTGAACCTTAGTCAGGCAATATTGCTTTGATATGTACTGCGCATACCAAGACACCGCCTAACTCGACATGCCATGCTAGGAGAAGTTGGATCAGGTTGGAAAAAGGTTCAAGGTGGCCAGGCCAAGATGTGGCAGCAGCCGACGAAAACTCTGACCACTAGTCTGAGTCATGTTGGGAGATGTAGACTGCCTGGTTGGGGTTGTAGGGATGAAAGGAGTGAGTGGTTGAGGACTCTTTGTGATACTTCCGAAAATCAGTCATAATTTCCCCCTTGACAAATTCTTAAGCTTGAATATTTGCGCTAACCTTTACCTTTGGATTGTTTATTCTCTCACACAAGTTTGTCTACTTTGATATCATTCTTTTTCTATCCGCCTGTTCTTTGCATACTACTATGAGGTTTGGGAACTTGTTCTGATGCACTTTTGTGCGAGACTCTACGTTCATTTTGTCTGTCTTTATCTTTGAAAACACAAAACCAATCAAGGCAACTACTTTAGTGAAGTATATTGCAAGACTTTTTACTGGTGAGTATGTTTTCAGAACTATTTTTTGAGTCAGTGCTCGTCAAAATATTTTATGACATTTGTCAGAGGTGGAAAAATATTGAAATAATGGTAGTCAGTTTATTCCAGACGGTAACTATGAGCATAGTTTGAAATTTTCAGTATAGTATTTCAACAAATTTACTTTTATTTACTATATTTTCAAATTAAAAACCACGGCAGTTAAATGAAGTTAGTAGTAACAGTATGATAGGGAGTAATGCATAACAACCGGTAGTTTTTAGATCATCATCTAGTTTGTATGTTGTTGTGCGTGGGTTTGGATGGAAAAGCGCGCGTATGTTTGGTGGTGGGGCTCATTCAGACAGTCTGAAAATTTGCTGTTTCAGCTACTTGTTCAGGTAGTAGCTGTATGATGCCTTCAGAGGTCAACTGCCATCTATCATAATGTTTTCTCGTTGTTTTTTCAACTCATCTAACGGTAGGCTGAAGACCTGTTAAGAGCATGTGAGAGCATTTTTTGACCTCTTGATATTTAAATGGTTAAAGCAAGTAAAAAGAAAGCAATTTGGTGAAATTTAAGCAGGCCATCTATTAAAGAAGCTGTTTGACTGCTGAAATATTGCCGTTACCAGAGATAAAAACATAAGTCCTAACTGTAATTTTAGTAGCTCAACTTAGTCAATGATAACATTTAAATGCAGTATGTTGGGGCTTATGTTTTGTGTTGTGAAGGGTAAATATTCATATATATATATATATATATATATATATATATATATATATATATATATATATATATATATATATGTTTTGCACAGTAAAGTTATATTTCCGGTCACTTCATTGAAGTCAAGGACACCGAACATAAATTACCATAAAACGAACTAAGGTCTGTTTCAAAAATATCGTCTGAAAATTGTTGAACCTTTTGGTTTGTTCTACAACAGCCAAAAAGCAGCAACGATATAGAGTTATCTCACAGCACCAAAATGGAATAACTTTATCAATATAACAGATCTGGATCACCTCATGTCAGAAAGTAGATTTTAGTTCAAATAAAGGATTTAACACAAAACAAATTATGATACCTGTTGTAATTTTTATTCACAGAACAGCTCAAGAATCACATGTTCTGCAATCAACATATGCAAAAAGTATTTCTGAAACCAAAACGCATATTCTTTTATTGCCTTTCATTAACTAAATTCAGCATTCTAGGCAGATTTTGACTGGTATCGATTTCAAGCCTGGTAGGTTGCACCAAAATGTTTATTCCTCATTCTCAAATATTATGGATCACCTGTCACCGCTTTCTTGAATGTTCGCTGCAGAGGAATGGAACGGAAAATGTTGAAAAGTTTTCTACTAGAAGTGCAGCTAATTCCGAAGCAGGACCGAAGAATAGTATTCTAAATTAGGTGGGATCATTGGGAAAATGGAGTTTATTTCTTGTTATCTGTCGCGACAGAATATAAAAATTTGAACTCCATGGAACTAAGGTTTATTTCACTTTTCTTAAATTGTATAACAACAGCTTAGTTAAGGAATTTCTCTTTATTGGAAACATTATTATCAGTAAAAATTCACAATTTGCGGTACACTGATCTTCGTAATCCTTCAATAAAATGTAGTGCTAACATTAAATACGAGTAATTATTTCTGTAATAGTTGCTATTATTTATTCATGGGTATTTTGGTTAGTTGTTTTGTTTATCTGATCTTTGATAATAAATTTGTTAATCACTTTTGTAATTGGCCAAAAACTAAAGTTTATATCCGTATACCTAATGATTGCTGGTTAAATCAGGTGCTAAGCTCCTCGAAGTTCCTCACGGTTTCCACACTTGGCAGTAGTCAATACTTGTCAATATCAGTTGTCCATAGTTGTGACACTTAACACTCAGATAGTTTTCATTTAAACTTAGGCGAAAGATACATGGATGATACGTTTATAGTTTGTGATGAAAATATGAATCTTACAAACCTGCTTCATACATTCAACAATGCCCACCCTTCAACCAAATCCACTCTAGAATCAGAATCGAACTCAACCTTCCATTTTATTGGTGTTAAACTTCAAAGAAAAGACGATAATTCACTTCGTAGATCGGTCTACAGAAAACCTACGTGGAATGGACAATTTGTTAATTTTCGGAGTTCAGTCCCCTATGCAGGAAAAGAAATCTTGTTCATTCACTTTCCTCGAAGATCTTGAAAATGTGTACTGAGGACACGATTGACAAAGAACTGCAAACACTTCGACGAACTCTAGCGGAAAACGGGTTCCCGCGCAGATTCATAGATAAGAACATAAAGCCAAAGAACCCAAGTGAACAGAGACATTTGGCGCCGAAAAATATTCTTTTGTTGAATTTTGAATTCAGAAATGATATTGCTGCAGAGATCCTGAGGAAACGACTGTCAAAATCCATAAACTGTACATACTTCACCGCCAACCTTCAGATAATTTCCTCCTGCAAGAAACTTTTTGGTCAATGTGTGAAAGACAAGCCGACACATTGGGCCACATCAATGTGTGTATACCAGTTTACTTGCTCTTGTGGAGCTGAGTACATCGGCCGTACCATGCGTCCGCTTGTAAAACATGTTCGCGAACACTACCCAGCCTGGCTTAAAAGGGAGACCGGAAATGAATCTTTATTTCAATAGCAGAACACCTCGTGAACGAGGCTACTTAACTCCTTTTGAGAGCTCATTCAAAATTCTCTGCAGGGTTCGATCAAACCGCTTGAAGGAAGTAAAATCAAGGCATCTGTCTATCGCTGAAGCATTAGCCTTCAGAAGTTCAAACCAGCGTAGTGCGTGCCAAAAAGGTACGTCCAACCTTTATCTTTACCATGGCCATCATAAAGCCCTGTCTACCACAGATTCATTTTGTATCAAACTGAACCTGCATTACGTAATTACAATCTTATTTTCATGATACCCTGTTTATTCTCATACTCTGTCATAGGCTTATCCGGTATTACATAATCACAATTTTATCTCCATAACCCTTCGTTCAGTTTCCTACCTTCCCATACATTCATCCTATATTACGTAATTACAACTAATTTCACAATCCCCTGTCTATTTTCCCACTCCAAAAGCAAATGTGTATTCATTAACTTCCTTTCGTCATTTAATATATTTTGCCCCCTACCCGGAAACAATTTTGGAACATTCTACCTACTGCAATATATATTCACGAATGTACAGCTTAGTAAATGACTTCGTCGGAAAGAAAAATTTTTTCTTTGCTGAAACCATGTCTTATCTTTTCCTATGAAAGATTATCTATTTGTCCAAATTGATGTCCACCTCAATAAATGTAGATTATTTTGAAACTTGTACCCGGTTTTTACTCACTTGTCTTTTTATATAACACCGAATGGAAATAACTTGTAGGTTGACTAGGTACACTACTCCTGAAGTACTTAAGTAGATTTATGATCTACCAAAATATTTACCTGGCATGACATGAAAACTCATCTGTTTCTTGTCAAGGACCTTGAAGGTAACCAAAAATCTGATAAACATATTATTCGACCACGTGGGCAATCCTTGTTTGTTATTTTACTCATATTTTGTTGAGCTATTGTACCACAGTCTTTTGATTACCGTAAAAAAGGCCTGGATAATATTTTCCACTGACTACTGTATAACTGTGTTTCGATAAATAAGTAAAATGAAATGGAATTATCTTTTCCTTAGTTTTGAGTAATTAGGTGTAAATTTCTGTTGTCGGCCTATAAAATGTATGTTATCAGTCAATGTTGAAGTTCTCAATAACTGTAAAACTACTTGTTGCTAGGATCTAAAATGTATACCAAAACCAAGTTTACAATTATCCGTTGGATTCAATAACATCAGCATAGGTATCATTGTCAATATTCTTCTTAATCTTTATCAGATATTAAAAATTTATAAGTTTCGCTTCTCACATTCTTAGTATGTTAGTCGTCAACAATCATAAAACTAAAAACCTTTCACACTAGTATCAGATTCTGCTTTATTAATAAGTGTCTTACACTTCTACAATCAAAAATATAGTCAACAACAGTTGCAGGCGAAGGAATACAAGTGACAAAACAATACAGACCGGCAATGGTGATGATGCTATTCAGCGGATCGATCCAAGAGTTACAGCAAAAGATCATATTAGCTGTCCAAATGAGAAACTGTACAATGAAAAACCAACAAATGAAAAGTGAGTGTAAATCTTAAAAACCTAAAATTTTTCGCTGCTACAAACAAGTCATAAATGGTAATGATTGTAAATCATCAAGTAAAACTCCAGTAGACACCAATCAATCAGTAGCTTGTCTTTCATATCCGATGAACTGCTTTACCTATTTCGAACTAAAAGTCTTGTGTCAGTAAATGTTTTTAGAAAAGAGAAACAGTTGAGTAATGGGCAGTGAATGCATTTTACGTAAGTGTAAAGTAAATAAAAGGAAAGAATCAAGAATATTACGATGTTATTTAAATCCTTTAGTGTTGAGGCTCAACTTTGCTTCAAAGAAATCTATTCAGCTTGGTTCAGTTAGTAAGATTAGACCACAGTGAATTAAAACCTTAGTTTCAGCAGCAGAATAGCGAATAAACTGACTTACAAAATTAGGCTTGACAGTAAGGAATTAAGCCATTTTTCCACACAAAATACACAATGATAAAAATAATTACGAGGAACTAAAAAAACAAAGCATGGAAGAAGCCACTTCAGAAGAATTTAAGTGTTGAATTTCCACACACAAATACAGCTATTAATATGCCTTAAGTCAGTCATTAAAGACTTCTATTAGTGGTGTTTTACTAAAATGTGTATCCTCTTATATATTTGCATCTTTTTGTTTGAAACACTGAACTAGGAGGTGGCTTATCGTGCTTAAGATACCTTTCAGACACAGTTAATATAGGTTTATATTGTGATCAGCTAGCATTCACCTTCACTTGTCAACATATTTCTTGTCTCAGCTCAGCTTCTATACCTGTTAAGCGTTGAGTATGTGATCACAAAAAGGAATTTGTAGGGGTTACCTTTAAAAATCTAGTTTTACAGATTATCTACATTTGCAGTATCAAAAAAGGTACTTTGTATGACATTTTAGGTCATTTTCTATAACCACGAGCTATTTCCCACTTACCGTGGTATACTAAAGTGCATGTACATGCCAGCATACTTTATACAAATAACTGGCTTTTTTAAATAAATTTACAGACAATCTTCTGAAAGTAACCAGCTCAGTCGATTTGCTGCTCTCATGGCTATTTTGTTCACCTCATGAGAATATTGGTGTGCAATAAAATATAATATTCTTACTAGGAAACCATCTGATAGTTTTTTCTAAACTGAATAGATTTTTTGAGATAACTATCGCTTGTCCGAAATTGTCAGATGTGAATCAGGAGAATGAAAGACGAGGAAAACGTAACTGCGTTCGATATTGAACATACCGTTGTTTTTACATCACTTTAAACACATCTGGTTTCATTTTCACTCATCTTCGACTTTGTATGAACAACATATTGACTCCTCATAGTTGAGAAAGAGAACGCTTTATAATGAGTCATCAACCTTGAGAGAACTGGGAAATTTTTGAAGCGTATCTTGCTTCATGCTCTTCATCACTTTTCACTTCTATATAATATTCTATCTCTAGTCTGATGCTTTATTCTCCTAAGAGCTTATGAACTCTGAACTGCATCGAATGTGAACTTTGAAGGAAGAGATTGGAAATGAAATATGAGATTATGAAAACAGCTTGAGAGCCTATACAACTATATATTGCATTTCGTTTTCAAGAAGTTTATATATTTTCATTCAAGGAATCTATCAATAAGCGAAAATACTGAGAGTGCTGTGAGTGAAATCAAGCATTTATCTCAACTTTAAAAGTAGTCTGAACTTCGAATTCAGATATTTTGTTTCCTATAAGTATAAAACGGAGATGAATTTATGACACTAAGCATTTGTAGAAACAATACTGTATCTATTTTTATCCGTCAAATCTTCTTGACAATACGTTTAATCTCAAGGAAAAGCGAGATACTTTGCTATAAGAGTTCACTCACCCAAAACCCTGCTTATTTGTTGAATAATCCGAATCCATTTAATTTAATAGGATGTAATCGGGTGTGTACAATCCAACTAACCGGGCACATAAACACGGTAATTCCCATAAGAAATCTTGAAATTCCATTTCATGTTTTGTTCGATCAACAGAGCATGGAATGACACTTAGAAATGAATTTATCTTGTTCCCCAAATGCTGTTCTTATTATATTTTACTATTACTTCAAAGGAAATAAACGCAAGAAATAAGCTATTCTTCCGTAATTTTGTTGCATGTTCATTCAAAGAACCAAATTCAAGTTAGGATCTGCTATCTCTGATTAAATGCGATTGAAGTTATATGTTTGAAAACAGTGGGGCACTTTTCCACCCTTAAATCTAACACTTCAGAAGCTTTATCCATTAATGAGTCATCGCCCTTCTTTTTGGTTGTTTGAGATATGCACATGAATTCACTGTTCAAAAATCCTCCGTTTAAATCAGTTTGTTTCTTGGATAACTTTTGCACTACCAGTACAAAACCTCAGAAGTTTCTGTTTATCAATATTTATAGTGAATGAGAATATGATTTACATGACATGCTATTTAATCCCGGACAAAAATTAATGTCACTATGTGACTTTAACTTCAGTATCCTAATAACTCAGATAGGAAAAAAGGTACTTAATCCTTACTAAGTACTTTAAATTAAAAAGAAAGAAAAGCTAAATTGACCTTCTTTGCTAAATTTGTATTTATTTCAGATTTCAGAACGGATTTACTATTTCATTCGAGGAACTAATGAACTCCTTAAAAGCTGACCAAGAGAATTCAGTTTTTGATATAAATATAAGGACACTAGCTAATATACGCTCTGAAATCTCACTAGCTCATGAAGTTTTAACACTCAAGAAAGAACCTTTAGTAAGTTTAACATTTTAATATACAATAGGTTCTACATTACATGATTTATTAAACTTAAACTTTGGTATGTTAGAGATTTACAAGGGGATGCTGCTGATCGCAAACTGAATAAAATTTTCCGTACTTATCAGAAGGCAGAAGAAAATCAGATTGCTAGTGTGTTATGGGATAATTGGTCTGATTAATCTGCAGAGGAAAAACAACCACTAAAATGCATGTACTATTCATGTCAAAAAATCGAAAACTAAGTTCCCGAACTACAAAGAATTCACTGTTATGCATAAATAGATCGAAAAAGTTCAATTATAAGCGAGTTACACAAAGAGACCATAAGTATGTTTTTAAAAACCATATACTTCGCGAAGTTTGTTGATCAGGTTTTCAATATGTCCGGTAAACTAAGAGTCATGAAACTGCAATGTACTTTGTTCGATGTTAAATGTTTTCCTGACAAAAAGCCCTAGATATTAGCATTCAGCTTTTTAGCAGTCTCCAATGCTAGGCTAAACTCCCGTCTTTCAGAAACTTCAGTGTATCTCAAGCAGTGACGAGGTCAGATACTTTACTTTGAGGCTTATCAGAATTCGCGTGAAACTTAATTATGTGCATATGTTATTCAAAGAATAGTCACCGGTATATCTAGTCAGAACCTCGCCTGGTTAACTAGTTTACTAGTTACTAGCCGGTCCTAAGCCCGGGTAAAGAGGGAAGGTTGGGCATAGGGCTAGCAACCCTACCCCACAAAACAAATCTAACCGCTAAAGAAACTTCAAAGCACAAACGAAATATAGAAAATAAAAACAAACTTATTCCCCGCTGGAATCGGAGAGGCGAAATCACGCCAGTTGGTGAAAGCCTTCGGGAAGCCAATTGGCCGATGTGTCTTCTCTGGATGAAAGCGAAAGTAAACGTGGGGACATGGAATGTCCGCACGATGTTTGAACCCAGTAAGGCAGCCCAGATTGCAAAGGAGATGAGAAGGTATCACATCGAAGTGCTTGGGATTTGCGAAAGCAGATGGAATGGGAGTGGACTCTCCAAACTGTCAACTGGAGAATCAATAATCTACTCCAATATTGTCACCCAGACGCCAACCACGAGCACACTGAGGGAGTGGCTATCATGATGTCCTCAAGAGCATCGAAGGCTCTCATGCAGTGGGAACCAATCTCCTCCAGGATCATGACAGCAAGATTCAACTCAAAAGGAAGAAAGGTCACAATCATACAATGTTATGCACCTACAAATAATGCAGAGCAAGAGAAAAAGGAGGATTTCTACAGACAACTTCAATCAACACTGGACAAGACGTCAGTTGGCGATATCAAAATTCTAATGGGCGACATGAATGCCAAACTGGGAGGGGACAACACGGGAAGAGAACTAACCATGGGTCGAGAGGCGCTAGGTGAAATGAATGAGAATGGAGAACTGTTTGCAGAATTCTGCGCATTCAATGATTTGGTGATTGGAGGCAGTGTGTTCAGGCACAAAGATATCCACAAAGCGACATGGATTTCACCAGATGGACACACTAAAAATCAAATCGACTTCATCTCAATCTCAAGAAAATGGAGACGCAGTCTACTTGACACAAGGTCAAGAAGAGGAGCAGATGTAGGTTCAGACCACTATCTAGTGCAAGGAACCTTCCAAATCAAGTTGAAAGCCTTCAAGGAAGCTGGTGATAGACCTCAACTCAAGTACAACACTCGGAAACTGAAGGATGAAACTACAAAGGAGATCTTCAAGGCAGCCATCAAGACAAAATGGGAGACATCGAGCAACATCCCTGAAGAAATCTGTGTGGAAGAACACTGGAAGTCTTTGAAAGCTATGTGGAAAGAAACCTGCACAACAGTATTAGGAAGGAAGAAGAAAGAAGACAAGGAATGGATCTCGACGGATACCTGGAAGCTGATAGAGGAGAGGAGGAGGGTGAAGCAGAAGATAAACCAGTGCAAGGATGCTCAACGACGAGAGGAACTGAGCACAATGTATAAAACATTGGGCAAAGAAGTGAAGAAGAGTGCACGCAAAGACAAACGACACAGATGAAACCAATAAAAGATGAAGAAGGAAATTTAATTACAAAAGAAGAGAAACAGAGGAAACGATGGGCCGACCACTTCAAGAAGCTCTTGAATCGACCACCACCTGCACTTCGTCCAGAAATACCACCTGCAGCCGCTGAATTACAAGTGAACATTAATCCCCCAACGAAAATGGAAGTCCTGAACGCCATAAAGCTACTGAAATGCGGGAAAGCAGCAGGACCAGATGGAATACCGCCAGAAGCACTGAGAACAGATGCAGAGACAACAGCGGACATGCTCACACCACTATTGCAGAAGGTGTGGAAGGAAGAGAAGGTACCTGGCCATTGATTGGAAGAAGGGTTACCTTGTCAAACTGCCGAAGAAGGGAGACCTCAGTGCTTGCAAGAACTGGCGCGGAATCACTCTCCTGTCCACCCCAAGTAAAATATTAAGCCGCATCATCCTGGAGAGGCTTAAAGATGCACTGGATTCAAAACTGCAACCGGAACAGGCAGGCTTCAGGAAGTACAAATCATGTGCAGACCAAATTGCAACGCTTCGTATCATCATAGAACAGAGCATAGAATGGCAATCAGCTCTCTACCTCAACTTCATCGACTTTGAGAAGGCCTTTGACAGCGTCGACCGAGAAGTAATTTGGAAACTGCTTCAATACTACGGAGTACCGCAAACCTTTATCCGCCTCATTCAACAACTATATGAAGATGCCACATGCCAAGTAATCCACAATGGGAAGCTCAGTGATGCTTTTGAAGTGAAGACAGGAGTGAAACAAGGTTGCCTACTATCCCCCATGATATTCCTGATTGTGGTGGACTGGATCATGCAGCAAACAGTAGGCAGCGAGAAGAGGGGGATACACTGGACTGTGGAAAAGAACCTAGAAGACTTGGATTTCGCCGATGACTTGTGCCTAATGTCACACAAACTTGAATATCTGCAGGCGAAAACTAACAAGTTGACAGAAGAGGCAGCGAAGACGGGACTTCAGGTGAATATAGAGAAGACAGAAGTGATGAAGATACCGCACCACCACCACCAACAACAACAACAAACTCCAGTCACCATCAACGGGAGAAACTTGAAGGAAGTAACCTCCTTCACTTATCTAGGAAGCACTGTTTCAACTACAGGCGGGACGGACGAGGACGTCAAAGTCAGAATCGGAAAAGCAAGACAGGCGTTCATTAGCCTGAAACCAGTGTGGAGATCTTCTGCACTCAGCATGTGGAACAAGATACGGATTTTCAACACCAACGTCAGTCAAGTCAGTGCTCTTGTATGGCTCAGAGACTTGGCGCGTCACGAAAGGCATTTCCAATAAACTACAGACATTCATCAACAACTGCTTACGCTCGCTACTGAAGATCAGATGGCCAGAAAAATAAGCAACAAGGAACTCTGGGAACGAACCAACCAAGAACCTATCACGCAACAAATATGCAGGAAGAAGTGGAGATGGATTGGGCATGCACTGAGAAGGCCGACTGAGGACATCACGCGTCAGGCCAGGCCCTCGAGTGGAATCCCCATGGGAAGCGACGAGTTGGACGTCCGAGGGTGACATGGAGGAGGTCGTGCGAGGAGGAAATGAGAGCTTGTGGGCTGTCGTGGGACCAGGTTCAAAAGATCTCAGAGAACAGAGGTCACTGGAGGCGTGCTACTGAAGCCCTATGTTCCACTAGGAACCCAAGGGACGCATAATAATAATAATAATATCTAGTCAGAATTCTAGAATCTCAGCTGAATTAAGGTGTATGACTTTAACACTGAGTGAGGCTAGCATGAACTACTAACAGGAAGTAGGTTTCACCGAGGATGATTTCCAAAAAGCTCAAAACGTACTTCCTGATTTATTATTGTTCAAACATTTATTACAAATACATTTATGATAAGTTGATTCTGTCCGGAGTGTACAAATTTTTAGTGGATATAGTACTTCTAGGTCTTCATGCGAACTAGTTACTAATATCTACCACCAAATATAGTGACTTCTTTCACATGTCTTCATGTTTATTGAATTTTTTTTCCAGGCATGGTACCTAATTGTAGCTTTTTCACGCTTTAAATACTCCTCGGTGCTCTAGACAGTCATTTAGTGCCTCTTCTGAACTATAGAAAATCACTAGTCTCCTGAGAACGATGTATTTTTTCAGTATTTCACACAGTTAAGCTGAATTTGTTCTATGTGAAAAAAATGAGATTTCAGTTTGGCTACGTTTACCGATTATGCTAACAAAATTAAATTAACACGATCAGTAAGATACGACATTGTTTTTTGCGGAAAAAGTAATGAAAGGATTGAGAAGAGAATGATTACCAGTTTCTCAAGTGAATCCAAAAGTATGGGTTCGGAAAGTGAAATCGAAGAGTTTAAAGCGATGAGGGAATATAAAACTGTTATTGAATTGAAAGTAAAAGCGACAAAAGCTGGGAAGCAAATGAGTAAGACTAAGGAAAGATATCTGCTTAAGGTTTAACAGTTTACCCTGTTTTCACTTATGGATTATGCACATATAGCTACGTGTCGTCTGAACAATTTATTGCCTTTCTTTAGCTACTTATCAGAACGTTGCTTATGACCATCCTAGAGACGTTAAACAATACTCATTTAGAATCCGTAAAGAAGTGAAACCAATGAAACTGGATGCGTCCTAAACATTTTAATGCTGCTGAAGTAACTGGCTACAACCGACAGATTGTTGAAAAAGCGAGTGAATACCTTAAGTCAATATATGCCGTAATCCACTTGAATCTCAATGGCTGAAAATAAAAATCGACTTTTATTTTGTCACTTCTAACAACTTAATTTATTATATTCTTACAAATATCCTAAACGTTTGGGACTTTATATCCTGCAAACTCAAAAATAATTTTTTTCAGAAATGCAAACTAGCGAAACATTTTTTTGTGACCATTTTGTTAACATGCTTTAATGTTTTGATAACTTTATCGGTTCTAAACTGTAGTTTATAATTAAATTAGTCTTTTTTATAGATTTCTTCCAAGCTTACCTGTGAAGAGTATTTAGTGTTTTCTATTATATCATGTTACATAAAACCAGTAATACACGCCTCTTCAAATATTGTTTGATACTTATTATATAAGCTTAGATTCCATTGGAAACTCCGTTACTAATAGAATAAATAGGTTGCATTTTGATAACAAAAACTAAGCTTAAAAAAGATGAAGCAAAAATTATTCATTCAGTGTGACAAAAAGCAATTTGTTTGGTCACTTCCATATGATCATTTGATAAAACATTGTTATCCACATGGAAACTAGTACATAATACCTTTTCATTGTATGAGACATGTAACAAGTGAACAGTGGTGAAATTATAATCTGCTATAGTGTCCAAATTCTTCTGAAATATTACTATGAAAACAATGTTTCTTTATATTTGTTGCTGTTGGGTGTTCTAACTACGAACTAAGAGGAAAAGGAATACGCTGAGTGGAACAAATGAAGTTCTGCACATCGCAGCTGTTGTTTTTACTGAAAAGAAAGCCTATTTATTTAGTTACAAACCACAATGTTTTTGAGTTGTTCAAGAAAAAAATTAGAAATGATGTCAGTTTGCATGTTGAGCTAATCAAGTTGATGGAAAAAGTAGGAACGATGCATTGTTAAGCAGTCTGGGATTTTCTGAGTGTAATGGCTTCATTAGAAAGGTATAATGGATTGGAGAAAATTTATCAAGTGGAAATGCTGGCATCATGTAGTGGTTATCTGAATGAGTTCATTATAAAAATCTATTTAGAAAAAAACTATTACTTTTACTTCTAGTTATTACAAACCTATTGTTTCTCTGATAGTTGTATTTAATTCATTGCAAAATACAAATATAGAAATGACCATAATGAATAACGTTTAGTCAACGTCTAGCATTTTTCAGACAGTGAAATTTGCAGCTTGTCTAGATATCTACACTTTTTCTACCCAGTTTTCCACATATTTAAAGTGGTAGAAACAATGAAATTACTACACGCAAACAGTGTTGGCGAAAACTTCCTTGCGTCGATGACTCCGAAAAACTTGCGTAAAATAAAGCAAACGTGACATTAACCAATCAAAGCTAACCACTTAAATGCATTTATAACCTTTGTATGCCTGTATACCTGGGAAACACCAGGCTGCGTAATTAAGTAAATGTCTCCTTTGTAAATTTCATTTTTATTGTCCATCTCATACAAAATTTTGTGAAGTTTGCACTTGATAAAAATTTTTTATAAGTCATTAATCCATTTGAAGATGAATCGCTATAATTCTTATGTTAATATTTCGGAAATTACAGCAAAAAGTGAACGTAAGAAACATCCAGTGTATGCTACCAAAAGAGGAGAATCCTGAACACCGAGGAAATACCTATTATCAGAAAGGATCATTCATTTCCGATCACGCATTGAAAGAAGATTTATCTCAAAATGTATTAACGCTGAACAAAATTATATTCTTTGTCAACCTTCTGTTAAGCAGTCAATATAAGAGTGATTCTGCAACTGAGAGACACGTAAGATTTCTACCAAAACATCAAAATATTATAGAAAATTTTAAATATAAATCCAATGTATACTTTGATGAACAACCAGTAGGTTTATCATTCGCTTTCTCAACAAGATTTTTGTGGCTTATTTTAGTGAAATAATTTTTGCAAGCCCTATTTCTTGTCACAGTACATACTAACGGTGTAAGAAAGAAGTAATAGTGTATAAGGCATTCACCTATTGATAAAACATAGTGAATGTGCCCATCTAGTTTTTACCCTAAGAAAATACTTTTTGTCATGCATTCCTCTGGAAAACTTTACCCATGCAACTAACAACATTGGTTCCAGCTTTCAGTTTATTGTGTTTTCACAGCATTTGTCGAATGGAAGAAACAGTTACTCCAGTGGTCATGTAGCATGAGTATTCCACTTGTAAATTTTCCCATAAGTAGTGATTCTTTACATCTGAATATCATCTGTAATATCCTGATAATCTCATTTATACACGAGTTTACAGTCATTCAGTATTAAGAAAACCACTTTAAAACCAGATTCGTTTTTTAGCTGCGGTAAAGAATCAAAGACTTCTGAGTTACTGTTACAAACTTTGAAGTCAATGCGTCGATCTAAAAGAAGACGCCAATTAACAACTGTGTTTGTGCAAACTGAATTCCAACCAAACGTAATATCAAAAAGATTGTAAAGTCGGAAAACACGTCCCAGCTATGGATATATTCATCTTTTTAGGGAATGTAAATACGAAAAGCTGCATGGAAAATAAAAGCAGAACAAAATCCTTAATTATCAGTATTATTTTATATTGAAAACTAAATTTGATGTGTGTAAAGAGGTGATTTTCGCTCATTAGAATGAGCTTCTCTTATCGTTCTAATACTTCATTGGCTTTTAAATTATCCGCAGACCAAATATGATAAAACAGGAAAAAAATCGATGTTGTACGAAGCAACCGTCACTTCATTAGTGAATATTTCGTAGACCATTGCTATTAGAACTGATAGAAAAAGAACATGATTTCAAACGGATCTTCTACTATGGACTAGTAAAAGAATCCAAAGTGCGCACAAGCTGTTCTCTAGTGGGTAGCTGATGTAGCCATCCAGTTCTTAAATTTTGGTGTTAGAAACTGAAGGGTGATCTTCCGGAAACCATGACACTAGGTTTTGGGCTAGTTTGCACTACTAACAACAACTATAAGCAACCATGAAGAAACTGATGTTCCTTTAGTTATTCGAATCTGCGTCACTCTGTGCTGAAATCAGAGACTTCACGACTTCTCTTTACAGGCTACGATCGCCCTTTGTAATACTGGATAATTCTCACGAATTGTTCATCATTGGGCAGCCGATGTAGCTGTTGAGACCTAAGTGATTTCTGCCGATCAAAGACTGTCGAATATGTTCTGTGTCGCTTGGTTTCGTAGCCACATTAAAAAAGTGGTCGATGGTTTCCAATCAGTATCAATCACTAGGGGATAGAAAGCTATATCGATCAAACACTGGTGGTCGATTCACCAACATTATCCACTCCTTCAGTGGGGGTGTTGTACTCTGAATAGCTTAGTCGTTAAGTCGCTGACCCTACGGGTAAGCGAAAAGCTTATTTAGTAATTCCAAATTTTCCTTTTCCCACTCACTTTAAAGAAAACTTACATAACGAATTAGTACAACTGTGTGTTACATTATATTAACATATTTAATGTGGAATTGAACTCTTGAACGGTGCTTAAATTTTACAGAGTGAAAGAAATGGGACCCTAATTATACATGAGCTTGATCAACACATTTTCAGTAACATGATTTCTGTTAAGTTTTCCGATCCATCTTTTACGTAATTTTCGTATCTGTCCTAAACCATATTACACATAATTTAGCCGATAGACATGCATCAAAAAAGTTAACTAAATTAGGAATTTTTTGAAAACATTATCTATACAGAGAATAAAATATGAGATGATTAAAAACTTAGACATAAACAATGGATATTACACGTAGCATTTTACAAAACGGTATCCGGCTTGTTTAAAAAAATTTACGTGTTTTGCTGCAAGGCTATGAATAAGGAGTATTCGATGATACGACAAATACTACGGCAATAAACTTCTTGCTAAAGTTTAAAGTAAACCCCTTTTCTCTTTCTTGCCACAGTTTCAGAAAGGAAACGAAACGAATAGAAAGGGTAGTAACTATAACGGGAGATAAAACAAAAGACGTTTAACGTAGAGTCACTCTCTTCAGCGATATCCTTTTCAAGCTGTACAACTGCACATAAATATTATATTCACATTACAACAGAAAAGGAATGTTTCATCAAAGATTTTCGAACGAAATGTAGTTTTGATTACAAATTAGGAGGTTGGGAAAATATTTAAGTAATGTTCGAAATAGTAATGGGAAAAACTACCAAGACCGGGGCAATATTTGGTTAGTAAGTTAGATGATGTATTATGGTTATTGGGAATGGAAAATGTAATGAGAAATCAGCATTTTAGAAGATGGAAGAATGTAGTGTGTAAGGGGTATATGGAAGAAAAGACTTTGAGGGCAAAATATTCTTATAGGTCATGCCACTGCATCTCGTGTAGGAACAAATTAGTTTGTTTTGAACGCAGAATTCAGGCTTGAAAATATTAATTACCATGGCTTTCACAGTTTGAAGTTTCAGGTGTACATCTTTCACGAGGTTTGCGCAAACTATATAGGCGACAACGAAGTTGTTTTTTGTACTTTATGAGTGGTCATAATCGATAAAATATTCTAGAATAAAGCTGTGAGATTCTTTTCTTTCTCCTCTGCGGAACCAGGCTGGTATATGTTCTGAAATGCGTTTGGAAAGCAAACGCCGTGTACGGCCAATGTATCTTACTCCCCAGGAGCAGGTGAATTGATAAACACACATTAAGGTGGTATTGAAGCATCCTTATCCTTTACGCAAAACCGATGCATTGGGTAGGTAGAAAACGTAAATCTGAGTTTGACAGCATAGGAAGTCTTTCTCAATGAGCACTGCAAACGGTTTATCAATGCATTTGCTGTCTCCGCTGAACTGCAAGCTCATGAAGATAGGTTACTTAGAAGCCGTTGAGATAGGATTTTTAAACTACTATGACGAGACAGAAGGATTGTTGTCAACGTCTAAGTAAACTACTTGTCACAAATACAAGATTTAGATGGAAAATGTTTGAAATAAATTGACTAGCAACAATCCCGCGGAAACAGTGATCGATTCCACGTTTTAACGTCTGCCCGTCTGGCGCCAGCTAAATCACTTAGGAGAAGGACAATAATTTAATGTGACTGTTATATTTGATATTAGTTTTGAAAGACCCATACTAAAGGGAAGTGTATTTAATGAACTTATAACAATGGAATTTTTTAAAAGGAACTCCTAATTCTCATCTGCAGTTTAGACTGCGAGAAATCACTTGGAAAAATAGATACACAGTAACATTATGGTTGGCGGCATTTTAATTTTTGAACTTTTGTTTCGGCTTTAGTAAGAATTAAATCCAGTATAGTTCACAATGTTGTTTTTACTGGTATACATTTTGCCGTAATGACTAACGGCATAATCTGGTTGTAAATCATTGTGAATACAAATATAAAGCTTTCTTTCAGGAAACCGAAGGGTGTAACAATATCTTCCTTGTTTAAAAGCTTAAAGAGCCTGGAACTGTTCAAAATCTTTAACCAGTATGACTTAACCAAAAATATAATAATACACTAACTTTGGTAATTTTGGCCCAAAATTGTGTTTCATATGTTATCCTAAAAGAATTCAGTTTGAAAATACTCATCAGATTTACACATTCAAAGCTATCCTAAAAATTTATATGAAGCATTACAATACGCTTGTTCATATTTTTACTTTTAAAATAAGGATTGTTAAGTTGTAGTGTAGCGGGTGCAGCTGATAAGAATGGATATAAGTAGTATATGTTTAGAGGGTGGTGGAGATCGTAGGGAATTACATGCAATGGGTAAATATTCTGCCAAGAGAAATGCGAGGAACATTGTGGGCGCATGAAAAGTAAATCGAGATAGGAGAAGAAGAGAAAATGAAGCATATTGTGCAAATGACTATTTTAATGGAAAGTGTACAAAATTTCGTCAGTACTGTACAAAATGTGATGATAAGCATTCCTCCTGCGTCTCAGTCTTTGTCGTTTCTTACAGTAGTACTGATTTGTTTTGACTTGGAAAAAGTTAACCTCTTGGGTGGTTTCTAATCTTGTCTGAGGTTATATACTGCGTATGCGATATGCATAAACGCGTATAATTATTGAATAATGAGCTGAATCCATTATACTGTATACTGAAACAAAGGCGAAACTTGGTAAGTTTTTAATCTCAGTTGAATTTGTACTCAACATTTTATCATTATGATTTTCAGTAAAGTTGCACATAGTTGTATGACAATGCAAACTTGATCCACCTCGTTATTATCTATCGCTTTCTTTTGTCATGTAACAGTGTGTATATTCTGATCAGTAATTCCTATCTGCTATGCCGTAAACACAAACTCAGTTGACTAGAGGTTTGTCCAATAATGATCAGTTACAGTAGAAAATGATGTGGATTATTGAAGTGATGATTGTTCTGGGAAGTAGATCCTTATTACATCACATCGATATTACGGTTTGTACAGTAGTAAATTGAATCTCTGACACGAATAACCACTGAATAATAACTTACTTTAGTAAGACTAAATCGTATATTTAACTTTGAAACACCAAATGTTATTCAAAGTTGTCTAATATGTGACTGCCTGACATGGAATAGAATTTGTCGGTTGTCTAAAATTCACTTTAATAATTCTGTAGCATTGTCAGTTGAAATTTGGAAAATCATGGCAGTTTTCACCCTAGTTACATACTATAATTTTCTCAAAATGTATCTTTTGTTAACAAGCGATTATTAGTGATACTTATATACTCATTTTTCTTCAACCTAAAGGCTTATCTTATAAAACTGTTAAAATATCTGGAGACTCAAATATATTGGTCAAGTGAAAGACTCACTCACATTAGTTATCTTAAAACAAAAAAGGAGCTAATTAAGTAAGTGAATTTCGCTGCATAAAACTAATAAGTTTGTTTTTAAAGATTAAAACTACAAAGTCTTACTTTCCTAGATTTCATTTAATCCAAAATGATGATTGCCATCAGAAAGATGTGATTAGACTTATAAAGCTACTTATCCTACATCGTTTCTACCTCTCTGTTCGCGTGAAAAGTTAAATAAACATAAAAATTCATGTAAACTTTCAGTCAGTTTTCATTTATTTAGTGTTTTCCAAGTTGAAAGAGTGATAGTTGCTTTGAAAGCGCAATATAAGCCATTACTAACTGGAAGACAACCATTTCCTATTCCCTGAAGCTGTAGAATAGCAGTTAAGCATAGTCAGTGTACATTAAAATGTAAATACATATTATGTAAGGTATATTTATAGTGTACATTTACCAAGAAATTTGAGTCTGTTATATTCACCTAACAAGCATTCAAGAAATTCTTATGATTAGCTACGGTATGTGGAAGCAAACTTGTCGAAGGTGAGGTCAAATATTCACTAATGGGATTGTATATGTTTGTCGTGAATGAACAGAAGTACGAAAATGTCGACCATCGCATTCAAGCTCAATTGCTAAATGATAATGTCTTTACCGTTGAGTCCGATTGCCAAGTGCTCGATCCTTAGAAAGTCTGTGGGTACATACCACTGAAAAGTCACGGAAAAGGATAGAAAATTGTTCAACACTCTCGGTTTTTCAGTGGTTTCCCGAATCATGTCAGTACTTGGTAAAAACGGAATTGAAACCGATCTATCCCTACAACCAATGAAATTCTAATATTTCGTCATGTAAATGATAGCATGTTGTTTAGCATTTTGGCAACTTTATGTCATAATTTGCACAGCCTGGAATGAAAAGTGTCGTTTGTGTTGTAGCCAATAGTGAATATTTCACAATAATAGAGCTTATGGTGTGTTTAAACTGAGCGAATTCTTCTTTAGCACCTTTCTCAGTCAAGCATTCCTAAATTTATTCTACCTGATGTTTGCTCATAAGTTCTTACGATTTAGATCCTTTTTCTAAGATAAACATTTTGAATAGTTGGCTGTAGGCTTTTACTCTCATTACATAGACTAGTGTTACTCTAATACAATACGATCAAGCGGTAGTAACACGTCATGAATATACATGGTAGTCGGGCAAAACCCTTGGTGATTGAATTGAAATAAAAATCTGGTCAGCAATCGGACTTCATAGCTTAGTTGGTAAAGCATCGGGCGTGAAACACGGTGATCGTTGGTTTGAATTCGACCGCGGTGCAGATTTTCATTTCACCTTTAATCATCACCCAGTATAAATACGAACCTTATCAATTAAGCGTAATGCACATCTGTGTTCAAGCTTTTTCCTATCTTATCGCCTTACTAGTTTGCTTACTTTCGTTTGCTATACCTTTAAATTAAAATTCTCCCTGAAAATTTGCTTCGCTTGATTTTATGACTAATATCATTAGTATTGTTAGGACAAAACATGGTATAGCAAGGGCACCAAGAATTGCGTCACACGAAACAGTATAACAACATTGTGGATAAGTAAGAGAGGAAAATAATAAGAATAGTATGATTAAAAGGGCAGTTCAGTAGGATACATTTAAAACAAAACATTCATTACTTCTTAGCAGCATAAGATACAAGGAAGCTACAGCATGACCTCCTCTGGTTTCGATTCTGAGCCATATCTGATTATGTCTCAAGCCACTGAGTTTGGTGGTCTCTCGGACCCCGCTCAGCTAGTCTCTCGATTCCACGTTATGCACTGACCACTCCTTCACTTCTTCCATCCACTTCCAGGGTTAGCAAACAATGATTGGAATGTGAGCCTTTGGGATGACAAGACTAACATATGTCCAAGCTACTGAAGCCGGTTTTCCAGATGACTTTGCTTATTGGATGAAGATATCCATTATGCCCAAACACACCCTATCGCACTTCAGAGTCAATTACATTTTGTTGCGAGCAATCCTATGGAGACAACGATGATTGAACATAAAGTCATCGCACATCCTCAGCTCGGAGAGGTCAGATTTCACGGACGCAGAGCAGAAATCCTCGCACCGAAGCTTTGTAAATCCGACGTTTTAGGGTCAGACTAATGTTGCGACGGGGCTGAAGGTGGCACAGATTGATGTATGTCACTTTGGCTTTCGATATGCAACTGAAAATTTCATCACTCATACCTCAACCAGCGATTACACAATTATCCAGATACACGAACTTTTAGACTACTTCCAACGACTCGCCACCAAGGGTGAATGCAGATACAGGCTCCTCCCAATCTTGCAAGAGTACTTTGCAATTCAGTGGTGCGAAGCACATACCATATTTAAGGACACTAATTGTTAAATGATTAAGTGAAGTTTGAATAGCCTGTGTTATCGCACAGTAAGATGATACCCTACATGATGTGTTATATACATAGCTTTCAAGATGTTGATAAATTTCTCAGGCAAGGTCTTACCTAACAGACAATTCCAGAGCACAGCGGTTCAACCATACAAAGGCAGCCATACTGTCAACAAACAAAAGGGTTATTGGCCTGCAACACGCCTGTGGATGTTCATGCATCTGGCGGAGGGTAAACACTAGATCAATCCGTGTTTTATCAATCTACCATACATAAATGCTTCTAATCAACCAACAGGCCTGTAAGCGGGAAAACATATGGTGCAAATAAGCTTACTATTGTTGAAAAGCTGAATATTTATTCAACGATAACATTACCTCCAACTGTGCTAACCAACCTGAATAATCCAAACATGTAGTTAGGGGTGGGTGAACGCGAACGAAATTGCTTCAAAAATAGGTGGTCTGTAACTTTGATGAATATGCCGACCGATAGCTGCTACGTTGACGTGGTGATCACACCTGCATATCACAATGACCCAACGAGCTATGCTGGTGGAACGCTTGTTCCCACAAAGGTCTGTTGGATGGTGGTTAGACGAAAAGCAGTTGCCGTTGCTACACTATGATGGGGGTGTGAGGGCGAAGTCGTACTGCGGCTAGCTGAATGGGGTGTGACAGCAGTAAGGTGTTTCCGTTGGATGACCAGCAGTGCCATGCTGATGCTGCCTTCTCAGTGGAAGGAGGGGTTAAAAGGTCGGCCCCAAAAATAACACACTCCACTATACCCCACGGTCCGTCGGTGTTGGTTCATTTGTCGTTTCCTTTAGACCATCTGGCCCCAAAAATACAAAAGTTCAAAATAACCATACACAAGAGGCTACGTGTGACAGGCCTCAAGCAGATGTCCAATGGGACTTGCAGCCACACAAATCTCTTTCAGGCACCTTAAGAAGAAATAGCCTTCCACGGTGTGGGCAGCCGGGAAGTGTCAACCGCCCTCACAACCCTATCAGCTCCCAAGTTTCCTCAGACTGCCATCCACCTCCCCCATCACTAACTTCTAATCTTCCTTCACGTCTCCCAATTAACAATACAACATCAGCTTTAATGTCTCCTACCTCTGCAGCCTTCGACAACTTTCTGGGTCCACAGAACAGCATCACTGGTCTCCTTAAACCAGGCTCCAAATTACATATTGGAGCCTTCAATGTCCGCACCCTCCGTCAAATTGGTCAACAGGCTTCGTTGACAAAGACTGGCAACTCGGGGCATGGATGTGTGCTGTGTTTGCAAGACACGCATACAGGACCCAAGTGCGGTTATTCACCTAATATCTCCCTGCCAATCTCCTGAGTTCCCAAAATTCACCCTTCAAGTTTTGGAGATTCGATAGCTAGCTCTCGTGGTCTTGCAGGTGTAGGCATAGCACTAAGCACTAGGGCAGAAAACTCACTACTAGACTGGATCCCAGTTGATAGTCGCCTCTGCGCTATCCGACTGAACGGCACAGTAAGAACTAAAAGGAATAGTGAGACTCGCCGTTGTCTCTTTGTAATCTCTGCTTATGCACCCACTGACTGCAGTTCGGATGAAGGGAAGGACGAGTTCTACCATAAAGTGTCTAGCCTCCTTTCGGTGGCCAAACTTTTGGACGTGGTGGTTGTTGCAGGTGATATGAATGCACAGTAGGTGGGTAGACTGAGTGAGACAGAAAGGCACTTAGGTGGGACTTTTGGAGTCCCGGCTGAACGTACTGCTGGACAACGAAAACACCAAAGCCGTGTTCAGTGAGAAGTTGGCTAGGCAGTTATCGGAACAAAAGACTACCACTCATCCAGAAGAAGCTTACTGCCATCTCGAGTCTGCTGTAAAAGCGGCGCTGAAGACCGTAGCCGACTCCGAAAGAGTGGCCCAAAGGAGCCAGTGGATATCAGCAGCTTCTTCCAAACTGATGGATGCACGCGAATGCATCACTGCCTTTAGGCACTGAGTACAATGAAGAGCAAGTACAACTTAAACGTAGATTGAGAAAAAGTTTGCGCAACGATCGTGAACAGTGGCGGGTAGCGAAGGCTAAAGAGATGGAAAAGGTGGCGGCGATTGGTAACTGGAGACAAATATTTAGATTTATGAAGGAAACTGGGTGGGGGGGGGGAAGGTCAACAACAGTTAGTGAGACTATAGTGAAGAAGGACGGATCTGCAATTCACTCGCAGGGGAGACGACTGGGAAGATGGGCAGAACACTTTGAGGAGCAGTTTGACTGGCCTCCAGCCACCATTAAGTTTCCCGCTATCCAGTCGGATCCTGAATGGGACATAGAGATAGGTCCTCCAACACCATAAGAAGTTGAGAAAGCAGTAGGTAACCTGAAACGAGGAAGGGCAATAGGACCAGACGAAGTAACTCGTGAGGTATACAAGGATGGTGGTAGAGTGGTCTTAGTCAGGTTAACGGAAGTGTTAACTAGTGTATGGGAATCAAATACGATTCCCTCTGACTGGTCTAAATCATTGATTATTCCAGTCTTCAAGAAAGGCGAGAAGTCCTCTTGTGATAACCACAGAGGGATCAGCCTGTCGAGCATAGTGTCCAAGATCCTAGGTTCTATAATTCTTCGACGCCTGATTGGAGCTCGGGAACAACAAGCCCGAGAAAACCAGGCAGGGATTAGACCAAGCCGCGGGTGTATCGACCAAGTATTCACAGTGCACTAGGTCCTGGGACATAGACACGCCTACCGACGCCTGACAATAGCTTTATTTCTCGACCTGAAGGCGGCAGCACTCGACTCCGTTGATCGAGAAGTCTTATGGCAATGTCTGTCACTGAAAGGCGTGCCGAGTGAGTACATCACCTTATCGAAAGCTATCTACTCGAACACTTGTGGGCGTGTTAGAGCCTATGGTGAGATACCGGACAGCTGTGGTCATCGAGTAAGGTCCGTCAAGGGTGCCCACTGTCTCCATTCTTATTCAATTTTATCCTAGATATTCTTATGGAGGTTTCCCTCTCGTCACCTGATTACACAGAGGTTGACCTAATCGGTGGAGAATTTTCGTTAGACGTAGAATATGCAGATGACATAGTGCTGTTAGGAGAAGAGGCTGACAAGATGCAGAGTCTTCTGAACACTTTCAGTGTCAATTTGAGAATGTTTGGGATGCGATTCTCACCACCCAAATGCAAATTGTTGCTCCACGATTGGCAATCAGCGGTGCCACGACTAACAGTGGAGAGTAAAGTGGTTGAGTGTGTTGAACACTTCACTTACCTGGGAAGTTGGTTCATCCCTGGTGGCTCAATGGCAGACGAAATTTCTGCACGAATACAAAAGGCTCGATTGGCTTCTGCCAAGCTACGTCACCTATGTGCCGCCGTGATATTCGTCTGTCTATTAAGGGTCGCGTGTACTGCACAGCAGTACGCTCTGTTCTACTGTATGGCTGTAAAACATGGCCATTGAAGGTGGAAGATATGAGAAGGCTTCAGGTGTTTAACCACCGTTGCCTTTGTAGTATAGGCCGTATTCCGTGGTGTCACCATGTGAGTAACGCAGAAGTCAGGTGTAGAGTTTTGGGGAGAAGAGGTAAATCAGTTGACACGGTGGTGAACCTTCATCGACTGAGATAGCTGTCTGGGACATGTGTTACGTATGCGTAGTCACCGATTGCCTCGTCACACAATGTTCGCTGAAGTAGGTCCAGGGTGGAAAAAGGCCCGAGGTGGCCAGACTAAAACAATGGCACCAATGTATGAAGTTTTTGACTGTTAGTTTGAGCCATGTGGGGCGATGCAGATTAGGTGGTTGGGGTCCACAGGATAAGAGGAACCAGTGGTTGGAGACCCTAGGTGATATGGCTCAGAACCTAAGTCAGTGGCGCAGATGTATGCACACATTATCCTCATCTTAACGACGCTATATCGAATCTCATCATTTTGTCATTCTTCCCTTCTTTCTTCTCGTACTTTATATTTCTTTGGACTGAATTTTCTTATCTTCATCTTGCACCACCCCACTGCCTTTTAACTTGATGTACTGATATGAGCTGTGGCAACTCGGAGCGTTACTCAGTAATGCCTGGTCGTATGTTGATATTGATTATGATGATGATGTATAAAAGCACATATTATAGAACTAGGCCACAAAAATAATGTCGAAACAGTTTTCAAACTTACCTTAGGAGCAGAATGGAGTGAATACTCAGATTTAAGGAATAGATTTTCATGAGTGAACTGAAGTCTTTTTTATGTTTGGAAACAGTTTGTTTTTACAATAAACCTATTTGGACAGTATTTATCAAATTTTTTTAGGAAGATTTGTGTCCGAATGTGTTATCCTTCTTCGTAACATAATTTATACCTTTCAAATTTATTGTTTTGAAAACAAATATAGCTGGCCAAACAATATATGCCGCGAATTTTTGGGATAAATCTGAGTTCATAGTCTGATCGGATCACCTTAGTTCTACTGAATAGGTTGTGGCCTACACAACGAAACCTCTGAAAATGACATTTTCAAGTTTTTAAAATCCTCTGGATTTATGTAAAGGTCCTCATGACCGAAAAGAATAATGACCTTTTTAGATCTGGTGATGATTGGAATTTGTTCGAAGGTTGAACATGAATTATTTTCTGTCCTCGAATGTACTTAACTGAAAATTTTAATGAATGATAACACTGAGAAGTAAGAAGAAACTTCGCGTTAATCCCTAAAGTAGTGAGTTTAATAAGGCGCTCTTACTTACTAAAGAGATTATTAAGTTATCCAGTCACCATACTCTAAGGGTATCCAGACAATTAGACATGCTTGACATTTCGCAGCATACCAATGGAAAGCATTGGAGATTATGATGTAATACTACAATATTTCCCATCCCCGAGTAGTAATGCGAAAAGAAAACGTTTTGTACATTAGGAGCTCCATGTATTTTAATTACTGCCCAATAATTTCCTCTTTTATCTGAAGATTTATTATTACGTGTAAATTTTTTTCAACACACGTATCTGACCGGGATTGAGTGAAATTGTATAATAATAGAAAGTAACAAATTATTTTTAAAAAAGTGGTCACTTATATAGTTAACAATGCACTTGTTACTCTAGAATTGGTCTATGAGAGGATATAATTGTATTTTAGGAATGTTTGTCTGAAATACTTCATTGTTCAGTAAAATATTTCTTTACTGATAATAAGTTCATAGTATGATGAGCTTTTTGTCTAATACCTTTATTCTTCATCGAATAAGTATGAACTAGGATTTTCTTTGATCTATTACTTTGTAAAAATGTCTGTGATTTTACTTTGCAGCAACTCAATAAGAAATATCAATGTAAGTTTTCTTTTATTCAAAACTAGTTAGTTCTACTTACCTATCTGTTACGTTCTAAAAACAGTCGGTTGTAGTTTTTGTATGTGCATACTATGGTATATAACTATGCATAATTACACCGTAAAATATCTTCTAGAAGCTTCGCAATCCCTCTAATTATTTTACTGGAATAGATAACAAAATAGAAGACGAAATCTTACGTTTAAATATTAATAAGATGCATTACATTTTTAAGTATCATGCAACTTTTTATACAGCTCTTATCATGAAACTGATAAAAAAGCTTGAGTACCTGTACAAATTGATGGCGAAATGATACCGATCTTGAATAAAGATTAAAATGTAATGCCTGTAGTTGGAGTGATAGTTGTTAGTTCTTGTTTTTTCATAAACTTCAAAATTAATTGTGTCCGACCCTCTCATACTCAAATCTATACAGTTTTCACTTTGTAATCTTTTAACTACATTGTTATGAGTCAAAGTTCAGTCATATACTATGCACTGTATCTGAAAATATAAGACAGTAAACCTTTGCTGATGAAATCGTAGTATATCTTTTTACCTTAGGGTTAACTGCTACCTAAAATTAGTTTGAAAATAGCTCCATCCTTCGACACCCAATTTTTTTCAACACATTTTAAGTAGAAAATTGATAGTTTTAACAATATAGATTTCGAAACATCAAAAACTCAGACGGTGAAATGGGGATTATTTCATTAACGGAATTATATTTTCAAAATTCAACTAAATAAATAGGTAGTGTTGACGTTCCACAACCTCAGGAACGATGCCTTTTAAATTCTGTCGTTTCCCTTCAGTCCGCAAATAAATTGTGAATTCACCATACTGCAATATATTTGGAAGAATTTATAACATAATTTTATATGCAAAGTTATGATTCCCCAGATGTGCACCGACTCGTACGCAACAACATTCGATGCATTCGGAATTTTCAGGATTTGATAAGTCAAATAATCCTTATTCATGAATGATTCTTAGGCATATTTCATTTCCATACGAATTTCGGAGGAAACGTAGTATACCTCAGTAGAAAAGTCAACTCTTTTCCCATCCCACTTTCACCGAATTTCAAACACTGCATGAAATACTGCAGTTTTTAAAGCTTTCTTTCAATTTTTATTACTGTCTTTTGAAACAATGTAAAAAACTTTTTTTAGGAAAGGACATTCACTGATACGGTTAGTAGCATAGCATGCTTTGTCAATACAAGTAACTCCGAGAACGGAATTACATCAGTGTCATCTCATTCAAATGTAAATAAAGATGCATTGAAGCTGAACTCACAGATATATTTTAAAAGGTCAGTTGGGATTATTACTTAAAAACTTCAAATCTGTATTTAGAGATATGAATATGTAATTCAAATCTAGGAGTGTTACTAGATTTCATCAGATAGAAAAGTTTGCATATTTTCTCAATCAGTTTCATTTCCTCATTAGTTTAAAATAGGATTATTACTTCAAGCTTATTTTCTGCTATGAAACTGGCATCTACGCAGGCATTCTAAAAGTTCAGTTGATGACTGGATGTTTTGCAGCATACAAAACATTCCATCGTCATGAAGCACTTGATGCCTCAAAATACCTCTTAAGGCTACTGGTCTAATTAGATACGCCATTGCTAAACTTCACCATCTCAGTTCCATAACCAGTAAGACTTAGCTTGGCTTATAAGTGAATAAGAGCCAATGTAAAATTTGGATACTTTTAGTATCAATCATCTGTAACCAAATAAAGAGCATATGGGGAATGAAAGCCACTGAGAACTATTTGCCGAGAAATGATGTAACCTGATAACTGATGCATAACATTGTGAATTCTGAATGCTGAAAAATCAAATTTTCCCTAACGATATATATTTTATTGTTACTAATGGCAGATTTACTAGTAAAAAAACACTTGAATTTTCAGCATGCATCGGAGATGCACTGGGTAATATGACATATGTGAATTGTTATCTTCAATAAGTTTGTGGTATTGTACTGGAGATCGTAATCGATGAGTATTCGTTAACTCAAATACACTCACTACATGAAAACACAGCTTCATGAGACCGCTATAAACATGCATGTAAGACGATCTAAAGAGTAAAGTCGTATTCGTCCAACTGTATATCAACGAAAACATTTCAACAACGAAGGATTAGAATTTTATAAACTTCCTATTTCTTCTGTAAATCCATCAGCATATTACCTGCTGTACTGAAAGTCATTAAACAACAATATCCAAATATGAAAGTGAACTTTTAAGATATTCTTTTGCACGCCCTTTATATTTGTCGGTACCCGTGTAGTAGATCAAAAGATGCACTAAAAAACGTACCAGTTAAGTCCAATAAAAAAGGGTTCTGCAGAATCACTCACTGGTAGATAGAACAATTAGTTTTACTTTAAGTAAAAAGGTGTAAGTAATAGGTATTTTTTCATTGTCCTAATAATTACTGATTAATGCTACTCGGCACATTCATATACTTAATTCATTCAAATTATGTATGTATAAGTAATGAAGAAGGGTTTTCTAATGTAGTATCTTTGTTTTGATGCAATTATCTAAATCCTATAGTTGAATAGTGTTGTCTGTATATTTATATCACCAAGAAAATCTTTCCATACCTGTTTACACTTCTGAAGTTTTCTTGATTAAAATAGATACCTAATCACTCTAAGGAACAGTGCGAAAAAACTAGAGGTTGTATGGTCATCACACTGCTCATTTTTCCTTAAAAACCTGGTAGATAATACAAAAAGTGTCTTCTCTTATCCTCGAATATTTTACGCCGATGATATCACTTGGAAAATGTTTATGGTTTTGTGTCTATTGGGGATTTTTTGCTGCGCTATGCTTTATGTCATGAAATATGGATTCACTTTATCTTCTGAAGTTGCGGAGAATCATACTTTAGTTTCAAAATTTTATTCATGTTTAAAACATGTGTTAGTAGTGGCACGCAAAACACGTACCAATTTATACTCAAAACTTTTTGATGTAACCTTAAATCTTGAATATTCATCTGGTTCTCCGCCCATATAATAAACTGTTCTATATTCTCTATTACATTAAAATGTGTTGTTGATCACTAGCTCATGTTAAGGAAGTGAATTAGTTTGCCAATATTTCCTTTAAATGATTTCAAAAGAATTCTGCATAATTTCCTGATGCTGAAAAAAATTGGTCCTCGCATTTGTCTCTGGATATGAGAAACTATTATGTCACCAGTGTTATCTTTGATTTTGTATCCCGCTTCTAAAAGAAAAAAACATTACAATTAAGTCTGGTTTTCGTTCGTTAATGTACTTCTCTACCTGTGTGTACATTGATTTGTGTTTCTGTCAGCCTTTGATGACAATCTCAGTATTGGATCATAAGCTGGATAAAATAAGCGTGGAGTTATGGTATGGTTATTAGTTCATGAACTGCTGGACAACCGTTTCGACATATCCATATTTGTTTATCAGATGGAGTTTTGATTTTTATAAAACTAGTCAGTCTCGTATAGGTTAAACTACCTTTATTTATTAAACAACGTTTATTTTGCTCCAGAAAACAAGTTGCATTAAAAGTTGGTATTTGTTTCTGAAATAACAGTGAATAATTATTAATTTGCTATTCTGCTACTACTAAGAGCACTAACGATGTTTTTTAGTAAAGTAAGCCGTTTCTAATTACACAAACCACCAGCGTCAGCAATTTCTCGGACTTATTCTCATTATTTCTGGTAGTTAAGTTGACCCAAACAGTTAAGCCCGATAGGCCGAAACGCTATCAGATTTCGCAAACTAACCAAAGTTTGAAGCTTTGCAAGACGAACTTTAATGACCTAATTTTGAGTTTGTAAAGATATTCTTCTTACTGGTCGTCTTCTTTCACAAAATGATTTGATTCTTTCTACTCTTATTATTCTTTATATGTAACTCCCAGGTTAATTCACAGATCTTTTATAAGAACACAAGTTTAATCTGGTTGTTTTCAGTTCTATGCGTAGGTAGGACTAAATTCCCTAGCTGTTTCTGTTACTTCTAGCAGCAGTATACGAGATAATCAATCCTAAAGAGGAGTTATCGTCAACCCGTCCATCGTTAAGGTTGGTATATTGTTCTCAAACTGATTAGGGCGTCATCGCCTTACAGCGTCAAGCCGAATTCGCAAAAATCATACCTGTTTAGCACTCGACATTATCTCGCAGTTATCGGTAATTTTATATCAATTAGCCCTTGGAAGCCTCTTTAAATACATGAATTATTAAAGATTGCTTTCTTGAAAAACAAGCTGTTCAGACAGATACCCTTAAAATGAGTACAATTCCCGTCTTAGAATTGACATGGAATTTTAAACAGTGAATTATAAAAAACTCAGATTAATAACGAGTCATTTATCTAGTCTCTGTGACTCATTCCATAAGAAGGTTTAGAACCCAGTCATATATATCCAAAGTAGTTAATAGAATATGCTATAGTTTAGGTGCTGACTTGGTGAACCAACTCACATCGTCTAGCCTCCATTTGGTCGTTACCTAAATGACCTAGAATATTAATCATCTCTATGACCTAAGACATTTTGACTGACTTTTTGTCAAGGTATTCTGTTAATTTCTCTCAATCTGCAGAAACATAAATTTCCGTATTGAAATTCAACTGAATTCACGTGGTTTAGGATAACAGCATGCGTTAAATGGATATCTCCTGAAACTAGCAAAATCTCTCCGTCTTACCACAGAATATGCTGTATAACAACTCTCTGAGAAAACCAGAGGTCGGATGTAAACATATCAAGTTCAGCATACCCCCAAGCACTCACCAAGCGACTAATCAGATGAAAACCGGGCAAAGTAGCCCGCTATAAATATCCTTGCAAAACCAGTTATTTCACTTCTTTGTGAAGCTCTGGTGACGACATGTAGCAAGTGGTGACTCATTCCCGCTACAAAGATTTGGTTTATTATCATCATCAGAGATTTGGTAATGGTCTGGTGAAGCAGTTTTTGTGACAGAAATGATTCGGCACCTGTTCCAGATATGTAAAAATTTTTCAACGAATATACCAGAAAGAAAGAGAAAAAGAACTATGCAAACTAAGTCTCAAAGTTTTGCAGTTATCCCAAAGTGACTATGAACTTAAACTGTGCTTGAAAAGTAATCCAGTAAATAATACTCTCACTGTGTGATACATTCAATAAATCAACTGAAAGAGAATTACAATGCACCACAGCCTGGGTTTTACCCTTATATTATAGCAATAATAGGTTTGTAAATATAAACGGATTTCATGGATTAAATACCATAGTAGCAGTCCGATTTATTTTTGTAGTAAACGCTCACAAACTAGCAGTAAACCAAATAGGTAAGACTGTGAGCTTTAATTCAAATCCTTATGAGAATAATAAGAGATTTCCAGAATAACTAATGTATATGTCAACCAACTCAGAAAATTATCACAAAGTTCAGTTACTCAGCATCCCTCGAGTATTTACAAAGACGAAACAACCATTCAAAGAAAGAGACAGTGTTAATTCCTAATATACTAGGCTCTAATAAAGAATCAAGAAAAACAAGTAACCAGTAAAAGCAAACTGATGGTTTTCAAATAAGGAACTAATTTGACAAGTCGAACACTGAACTGATTGACAACACGAAAAATTAGTCTCAGAGCTAGTGAATTTTTCACCCTATCACACAACTGACAAGAAAAAGTCAAAAAATTTACAAAGTAGATTTAAGGCGAAAATTGAACCAATGTGGCCAAAATTCTAATCAATTACAATCAGCTCATTTCTTTCAGATACTCAAAGGAGAGAAGTGTGAGATCGTAAAATGAGATCAGGATGAATGAGACTGTTAAAATTTACATATGTCCATTCTATGACCTAAAAGGTTTGCGACGCTATAAAGTGTATTTATCATGCATAAAATCAAACATCATTGTAAAAAATGTCCACAAAAGAATTCAAGAAGAAAGATCAAAGTATGTACACAAATAAATAAAAGTAGCATGATATACCGAAAGACTGTGAGGTAAATAATTTTAAAGGTATAAGATATTATTACTGTAAGACATCACCAACCATTGATTGAACAGAAGGAAAGGATAAACCAAACACTTTTTTATAAATGGTAAAATATGGAATTGCATGGGAGGAAAACTGTCAACATTTGAATATTATATTTAAATTTTCAGAGAGAAAAAAGCTAGCAAGAAAAATAGAACACTATGGGTTACATTACGTGCAGATACAAAACCAGAGGGGAACTATGTTAAGAATAATAATAAATGCGTGCAACACAAGATGATAAGATGTTGATAACTAGAAAGCACAGAGAAGAATAATTATTTTTTCAAGGAGTTGTGGAATATAGTTACCTTACGAATAGAATTTAAATTACAGAAACGTAGAATGAAGAGAAACAAATGGACCACATGGGCTTTCCGGACCTCTGCTCTTTTGCTGATGGATGTCATGCGAAGTACTGTCTGATGGAGAATAAAGAAGAAACGAACGTGACTCCAAACCTGGACTTTCGTTATCTACACAACTGGGAAGTGACCGGTTTCGGAAAAGCGTCAGAAACGGAGGCCTATGACGTTCTCGAATTGCTTGGCTGCGGTGTAGAACTTTCTTTGAACTATTGTTGGAGGATGAATTACTGTCACAAATCCCAACAAAAGCCTAAAATTTATTTTCAAAAAGATGCACAAGTTTTTTATAAAACATTTTGAGCAAATTAGACATGAATACTGACGTTACAAAGATCTAATAAAAATAACGAAAAAATAATACAACTCAAACCGGTATATATTTGTATTCCAGACTATGAGCCACACTTGTAGTGCAAGGTTCATGATACTACCCAACCGCCCAGGCAGAATTGGATACAAGGTATTTTATGAGGTGCAGATTTACAACAAGATTTGTAAAAAAGCATCTCTAACTATCCCTTGGGGCTTGAAGATTACTTCGATATTAGATTTGTTTATTTGATTTATAACACACAGTGATCTAGTATTATTTACTTGATGACGTTTCGAGCATGAATTATTGCTCATAATCATATCAAGATTATGACTACTTCTTGAATCCACTACATGACAGTCCTAACAAAAAAAAAGTTTACAGTTTTTACTAATAATTTTTTATATTCACCTTCAAAGCATGATAACTTCACAAGGCTTTAGGAAAAAGGAAGAAATAAACCATTCATTAACAAGACAACAAGCAAACACGAACTAACCTCCTCATTCCTAGGATTATTTGTAGGTTGTGAAAGTTGATTAATATTGTTAGTTCCCTCAGATTCGATAGGGACGAGAGTTATACGATCGTCTTCATCTGGGTGGGCATGAATATTAACATTAGGATTGTGTAAGAATTCATAACGGCTTTGAGAAATGTCTGAAATATTCAACTGCGAAGTCGAAGATGCAGATTGATTTGCAGGTTGCTGAGAGTTTACTGGTGATACAGAAGGAGAATGTAAGATTAAATTAGAATAATCTAACTGATACACATCGCCATACTGATCGAATTCCGATTCTGATTCCGATCCTAGATCATTGTGGAGAAATGATTCGTGAATATTTGGATAAACACAAGAATTAGGAAAAGACTGTTCATCCTTGGAACGCTTTAGGGAATTAGCTTGTGACGTTCGGTTTGAATAAGAAGAACAAAATAGCTTCGCATCTATAGGTGGTTCATAAACAGTTCGATTAAGGAAACCATCTTGCGTTGCCTACAAAAAATTGAAAAAAGGGTGTTTCTAACAGGTAAAAGATCGCTTAAACCTTAAGTGACTAGAATATGATACTGAAAGTCGGTATTATATTCACTTTGCAATAATCACCGTTATCTTAGAATAAAGTTAATCGTAAGATCAGATCAAATTTATTCAAGGAACTCCATACAAAACAAGATCACAGCGTTAAATTACCACTTCTATTACTAACGGTGAATATTTTATCTTCAAATATTACATGCAATATACTGCTAGTAAAGTGAATCTTGATGTTTACAAATCATAATAAACTTTTTTATTATCCTGCAACACACTGGATAACTGTAATGCTAAAATCGTTGGTTTATTCCACATAAAACAACTAGAATACATTAATGATGTATATATTTCACCACACCGCCTGTTCCACATGCGCAGCACATGTTTCAATCACCTCAGTTGATGAAAATTTACAATCCACTATCTTTGACCAAAATATTTGTCTGATATCTTACTGTCTTTAAGTGAGTTATCTTAAATAAGCGAATATCTACAGTTTTTCATACCCAATATTCATGAACATGTTTTAGTTGTACACTAAGATAGAGAACAGTACACCTAACTTATAATCGTAATTCAGATATTCTTTTAGTATCAACGCAACACAATGCGCAGTTTAACAAAATCTAGTTGAAACTTTCTTGCATTTTGATTTCGTCACTCACACACTGAAAACGGACTGATCTGACTTCCTGAGTGCAGCGATCAACACTGACGTATACCAGTCCTAAAGTAACATTTTGCATTCGAAGCTGAGTGATACATCATAGCACCCTATCATTGTCTACAAACACCTACACTAATGAGGGGTCGACAAACGAGAAAAAAAAACAGTCATAAAAAGGCAACTAGTAGAAGCGTTATCCAAAAACCGACCAGTGTTAAAATCTTGTGAAACAATCTGGTATAGATCATTGCTGTTGTTAGAAATATGACGAAAACTGTAAACCAAGAGGATGATATTTACGAAATCATAAAAAAACTACAACATGGAGAATCTAAGCAGTGCAACACAGATTGGATAATTATGAAACTAAAAATTACACAAAATGTTGATTTATCGATAAGACCAAAAAAGTTGTAGGATAGAATGAGCAGTTTTCCGAGCCATACAATAATCATAAAACACTGAATAACATCTGTAAACGAAAGTTTACAAGACATTACCACTTTAAAAAAAAATAACTTTCAATCTAAAAAGCTGTATGTTAGTTTATCATTTAGCTATTAAGTCTCCAAACCGATTAGGAGAACCTTTCACACAAATACCAATGCGTACACACCAAGTGAAACTCACCTTCAAGTAAGCATCACGCGACATACCAACAGGATTCATTGATACCGAAAAATGAGAATACTGATTAGTAGAATTTCTGTTAGTCAAGGATAAACAAGTACCAAATGACTCAGGTACTGAAGATTTATCTACTGACTTCAAAACGTCTGATATGATACTCGACTGATATTCAGCTGATAATTTACGAGGTGACAAGAATGAATTGGATGAAGAAAAGTCATTATTATCAAGCGTTTTACAATGTTCAAATGACCAACAACTTGTTAATTGTGACGGAGATGATATATGTGGTAGTGGTGTTCTGTTGTAAGCGGTTAGTTCAATGTTTTTATTCTGTGAGTTATTCTGACAACAATCAACGCAAACAGAAAGATGAGAGCATTGAAATGCACAATTTATTTTACCTGTAACTTTACTTTTCTCATACATTTCCTTCTGATTTCTAGGACACAAATCATTATATGAATTACAATTAGACTGCCTGGTTGAATGGGTATGCTGTTGTTGGTCATGACTGTGTAGTTTGCACACAACCTGATCGTTGTCTGTCAATAAATCTTCATGCTGATAACTAAAATAGTTCTCCATCTTATATTGTGGCGAAAACACTGAATTAGAATTGTCCGCCTCTATAGCGGCCCGATTATTATTATATGCCAACAAATTCGGTCGTCTTCCACTTCCTGCTAGCATACCAAGGAATGGTGAGTGAGGATCCTATAAAACAAAGGAAAAAGAATTACAATATCCGGATATAATAAAGTGCAACGATTAGATTTCAGCTAACCTACGCGATATATATATATATATATATATATATATATATATATATATATATATATATATATATATATATATATGACCCGAATGAGACCTTTATAATATCAAACGACAATTCTAAACAACTGTAGCCTTTTAGTACAGCGACAATGATTTATCGACTAAGGTGAATTGGACGTATTTTATGAAAGAGTTTGTGTCAACTATCTACAACGAGAATGGTCTATGAGATATCTGAAGAAACACCAGAAGAATTAAACTGACTAAAGTGCGAACAACGAAGTATTAAAAGAACTGACTAAACCTCAAAAAAAAAACGTGGAAACAAAAAAGGAGAAACAAAGTGAGAGAAATATATTTGCAAACAGAAAGACATGAATTAATAGGAAGATAATCGTTGAATAACAAAAGATCTATAATTAAATACATCTGTGCTAACTAAACTGATTTTGCTTCACGAAGACCAGGGTCATCAGTCAGTTTTAGAGCGAGTCGATGTTCGACAACAATCTCAAAACTCCCTGCACAACTAAGATCAAACGGTAGAATTCATAGATCAATCTAAACATTGACTTTATAAACTTCAGTAAACTCTGAAGCGTCTACAGACAAAACCAAACATCTAAAAAGACTGTGGACCATCAAGTACGTTAGTATGAGAATAGAATCTCCACACTGCGGTAGAGTAAAATTCTATCAGCTCTTTCTTTATATGTATCACAGAGTGAAACAGTATTGTTTACTGATGAGATCGCGAGCAGAATGTATTGCTTATCATTATGTCAAAGTGATAGCACAACTTTCTGGTTTAGTTTTATAGTTCAGCAAAATTTCTAACATACACGGAATTGGTGTCATGTCATTTTGATCGCATGTGTCAGGTGTAGATTCGATAAACAAAGCTCCAATTATCAGTATATATATATATATATATATATATATATATATATATATATATATATATATATATATATATATATATATAATTAAACCAATCATGCAGATTAGTCGGTTAATGTCACAAATAATTTAAAAATAACCATGACGATAATAACACAGAAAATAGAAATAAAGATGACAGCGTTGACTAAAGCAGTTCTAACAAACATGATTGTGATCATAAAAAACAAAAAGGCAGTATGAAAATGTAGACACTTCAATAATCAAAGTTAGTAAAAAAACTCAGGAAAAAAATATATACACGTGCGTAACACTGGAAGACAAAATTCTTCATGACTGGCTTTATTTTCATACACATTTAGTTACTTATAGTAGAAGAAACCATGAATGGGATCAAGTAAGAAAAATACTATCGGACTATAAGTCCTGTTTGAATTATTACTCAACAGATAGGTGGTACATTGACGTGGTGGTCGGGCTTGCACGTCACAGTGACCCAACGAGCTACACTGACTGGAACGCTTGTTCCTTCGAGGTCCTACCATGTCAGAAAGGTCTTTTGGGTAGTGGTAAAACGAAAAGCAGTTACCATTCCAGTGTACATTACTACACTATGATGCGAACCTGAGTGCGAAATCGTGCTGTTAGCGGCTGGACATCAGTACAATGTGCTTCCTTTGAATGACCAGCAGTGCAACGATAATGCTACCTTCTCAACGAAAGGGTGAGGCGTGGGGGTAAGGAAAGGTCGGCGCCAAAAATAACAAACTCAACCATGCCCCACGATCTCCCAATGCCGAAGTCATGGGTTCTCCTCCCTGGTCGGGGCTAGAACAAACACACCTTGAAATGACCCACAAAAAACTGTACATGACAGGCTCAAAAAGATATCCCATGAGATCCACAGTCACACAAATCTATTCCCCTTCATGTACCTTAAACAGAAATAGCCTCCTACAATGTGGGACACCGGAAAGTGTCCACCGGCATGCACGCTTCCAGTAGTATACAAGACCCAAATCAAACATAACCTATCCTCCTCAATTCTATCCTCCCCCTCCCCTCCCTTTGCCTTCACCTCCTGATACTAATATCAGGCCTCTTATGACTTAACCAACCTCTCAATTTGTAACCACAGTCATCGAAACCTCATTCCCAATCTCTTAAGAACCCGCTCACCAGCAGTTTCATGCTAGAGCCGTCAACACCCAAACTCTATGCCAAATCAGACAGCAAGCATCGCTCATCAAAACCCTAGTATCTCTAGCCATGGATGTACGCTTTCTATGAGATACGCACACAGGATCCCAGTGAGGATATGGAGTTGGTCTCATCTGACCATACCATAGTAGTGAACCCTCAAAATTCACCTTCCGAGTATTTCAATACATACATGGCTAGCTTCTCGTGGACTCACTGGTGTAGGCATAGTTTTCAGATGTAGAACAGAAAGTGCGCTTCTCAACTGGATACTAGTAAACAGTCATCAGTGTGCTGTTCAACGGAATGGATCTGTAAAAACTAAGTAGGATCGTGAGACTAGGCAATGCCTATTCGTAATCTCCGTTTACTCATCCACCGACTGCAGTTCAGATGATGCAAAGAGTGAATCCTATGAGAAGCTGTCAACTTTCTTATAGAAAGCAAAACATTCAGATGTCGTCATAATGGCAGGTGACTTTAACACTCAAGTAGGGAAACTGAACTGAGCCAATCGGCAAGGCATCTTAGGAGTATTTGTGGAATCCGATGCTAACGAACCGACAATGCTGATCGTTTGTTTCAATTCTGTTGTGACAATCACTTGTTTCTGGTCAGCACTAACTTAAGACACAAGAAGAGACACTGTATCACATGGCGTCCACAGGCATCAAACCAACGATGGACACAGATAGATCATATTCCTATCATTCAGTCATCGTTGGTGGATTACTGCCCTTCCTGCAGTAGCTGTTCGGACTCCGATCACGGGGTCGTGTGCGTCAGCACTTTACTGACCGCCGCAAACAGGAAGCAGTGAGGTCCTTCTGTGATCGATTGGTAGATGAGGATGCGATGTACACATTTAGAGAGGAGTTAGCTAAGCATTTATCTGAAAATAACAACAATACTCTTCCTTCGGAAATCTGGCATGATCTTAAGTCTGTTGTAGAAGTAGCGGTGAAGATAGTTGATAACTTTTATCTAAAGGTTAGCAATCGTCATTGGATTTCCATGACGTCATCCAAACTGATTGTTGCGAGAAGACTGATTCCAGCTGGTTGTGACTACGATGAAGAGCGTAAACAACTTAAAAGTAAGCTGACCAAGAGTCTTCGCGTCTATCGCTAGCATTGGCGGGTGGCGAAAGCGAGAGGGATGGAGAAAGTATCAGCATTGGGTAACACTCGGTATTTATTTCAACTGATTAAGAATACTGGTAAGAAGAAGACAATGGTGAGTGAAACCATCATGGAGAAGGACGGGAGGCTGATGGCTTCCTAGGGCAGGTCGCAGGTAGCTTGGACGGTGGGCAGAACACTTTGAAGCTGAGTCCAACTGACCGTCAAGATCGCCTCAGTTGCCTAACATCGAGCCTGAAGGTGAGTAGGATGTTGATGTTGGTTCTCTGACTCTCCTTGAAGTTGATGAGGCTGTATCAAACTTGAAACGATGCAAAGCAGCAGGACATGACAGTTTGTCACCTGATGTTTTCGATGACGGAGGTAGGAAATTGGTGACCAGAATGACGGAGGTACTAGGTAGTGTATGCTGTTCGTTCTGTCTTCTTATACTGCTGTGAGACATGACCGTTAAAAGAAGACAGGAAGCGGCTTTATGTATTCGATCATAGGTGTTTCTGTAGCGTTGCTCGCGTTTGGAGGAATCACTATGTAAGCGATGCTGAGGTCAGGGGAAGGGTTCTACGCAAGACTGACTAGTCGATTTATGAGGTTGTGAACTTCAGTCGACTGAGATGACTTGGACATGTACTGCACATGCCGATCCACCGGCTATCTGGACATGCCATGCTAGGGGAAGTTGGATTAGGTTGGAAGAGTGTTCAAGGTGGTCAGACTAAGCTGTAGCACAAGTCGACGAATTCCCTGACTATTGGTCTGAGTCATGTTGGGAGATGTAGACTAACTGGTTAAGGTCCTATAGACGAAAGTAACGAGTGGTTGAGGACTCTGTGACATATCTGAAGATCGGTCACAGTGGTGCAGAAGTATATATATATAACCATGTGAAAAATATATGGCGTGTGTTAGTTTCGAGCAAATTTTATAAATAACTAGTTCATAAGGACTCACACGACTTTTCATATGACTGAGGTGTTTATACATAAAAATGCAGAAAAACAATAAATAATGTGATGTGAGAGCCTCCTAAAAACTGATGAGATACATATCGATCAGCCGTCATTTCGTTGCATTAAGGACACTCGACCCAGGAGTGAGTTTGAGATCCACTCCATACGCAAAGGTTTGATTAACAAATACCATCATACTCTTTGTACACTCACTGTACCTAGTACAAGAATTTGTACTCGGTCACTAAGTTGTATATTACTATTATCATTATTTTCCTAAGAATAAAGGTCAAAAGTTAAATTTCATTTATTCCATTCTTACCCCAAATTCAACTTGATGGTCTAGAAATGTCTCGCATGGATCAATTGAGTTTAGACCCATATTCACGCAAACAGGACACGTCGATGAAGTATTATACTTAGAATTATGACGACGATCAGCGCTTCGTATACGGCGAGTGTCCTGAATAGAGAATTTATATTTGCGCTTGTCATTTTGATGTGCCGCATTACTTGAGAAGACATGTTTGAAATCAGATTCATTTTGTCCAAAAAGTAACGATGTGTTACCAATACCCCTCGATGTATTTTTACATTTGATGTGACTAAGACTAGACTGCAATTCAAAAGAAGTGTTAAGATGTAAATTGTTTCCTAGGTGACGATTGGAAGAGAGCGGTGCAGGATTTTTGGGAATCAGAGTGTTTGCTTTTGCCTCGTTAATATCAGGTTCAACAGCCCAAAAACAAAATGACGCGGCCAAACGAAACGCTGACAGTAGAACACTTTCAACAGCTGAAATTCTAACAACTTTAGAAGGACATGGATTCTCCGCAGAATTATCCAAATCTGAGCGAAAATCAGATGTCGCAGAAGGAGTCGTAGTAGACAATGACCTTCTAGAACGTTGTCCCGCATAACAAAACTTCAATGACGGTAAAAACGGATTACAAATAATATAAAGTAAATCATTAGGAATTCCCTTGATTGAACTTTCGTTGCTATCAATCAATAAACAATCATCTTTTTTTCCATCAGCAATGTAAGAAGCGACAGGTCTATAATAAATTATAGTAAAGCATATACATGAATCGTAAAAAGGACAAAGTATGACAAATAAATTTAAGAAATTGTGAACTATTATAGATGACTATAACCTTTCTTCTTAGGCAAACTTGGTAGTTTTTTTATCATGAGCTGATGGAACAAGTGAAATAAGATTACTCGATAAGTCCCAACACACAACTACGAAACTTCACAAAACCCCACCTTTTGGTATCTATTTTCTTTTAATAAACTTCCAACCGAACGAAAAATAAAAAAATAATAATTGGGATGAAAGCAAATATGTAGAAAAGTATCTCACTTTGAAAGATGGGTGCGTACGTACATAATTGGTGCCTAAACTGCCTTCATTGTGAAAATTATTTGTAGATTAAACTGAAATACACAAATGGAAACGTATTCCAACGACTTATTTTTATGACGTCTTCATTCAGTGGTACGACTCACTAGTAATAAGTCTTGCAATTACAATAATCAGATAAACCATGCAACGATTCGATAAAAAATCGAATACACAATACGAAATTGAAGGTAAAATATTATTGGGAAGCCGCAACATGGTCGAAAGGGACAGTATTGCAAAAACAAACGGGGTAGCAGCTTATGAAGTAGCTGACCGTTGGTCTGAGTCGTGGGAGGAAGTGCATACTAACTGGTTGGGGTCCTCGAGTCGACAGCAACAAATGGTCGGATACTCTTTGAGATATAACTCAAAATGATTTACAGTCGTACAAATATCCACACTACTTTCCATATTCAAAGTTCTGAATATTCTCATTAACCATCGTTTGATCATCCTTTTCCTTTTCATACACTTTATTACCATGATACCACCAATTATTTTCTATCCACTTCTTTACGTTCTGCTATGAAGTTAGGGGACTTGAACCGATGCACTTTTTTGCCAAGTTCTATGTTGATTTTTCTGTTGCAATCGTCTAACAACTTACCATTATGTAACTATGATTTCGTACAGAAATGTACTTCAGTAGATAGATTTTAACAAATCAAACAAAATTCATTCCACAATAGCCAATCAACCTATGAAATCAAAACTTCAGCAGTGTGATAGATTGTTACTCCATTTTAGTTTGTTTATTAGATATTTCACCCAATGAAACAGTATCATTTATTAGACTATGTTTGAGACAATTTACTGCCTGTATATTAAAAATGAGTGTGAACAATAGACTACGTCCGAAAGATTATCTAGTAAATAATACAGTTTCCCTGTGTGACATATATGATAAACAAAGTGAATTGGTCAACTTAATTTATTGAAATTCGTACATTCGCACAAATCTGAAGTTCAATACTTTTATCACTGTGTCAGTTGTTGGTGCTCAATAGTGTTTATGCATTTTAAAGTGATATAATAATTAGGTACCTGACTATCCCTAACAAACACTAAATTCGGTAGCACACATATGAATGTGAACGTATTTTATTATTACAACCCACATTACCCTTGACACTCCTTTATAAATTCGTAACTCCTACCATTTTAATAATGTAAAAAGTGAAGTGAGGATAATTACTCATATTCTAAGTAATTTCAAGGATTTTTACTACTTTACAGAAATATTAATAGTACCGTAACGAAGAGTCGCTGAGTTACTTACTGAAAAGGTTAAAAACAAGATTAAATTTTACAAAGCATGCATGAAACGCTTAAATGTACAGGGATCATCAACCATACCTAGATTTTAATATTCGTAAAAAGTGCATTAAACTTTTCTCTGCAAATAATTCCACAATATCTAGTTTCCTATATCGTGAGACAGAAAAATTGTCACCACTTTGCAAAAAAGTACACTTTAAATGATTTTGCTGATTTTTTTTTGACAAGACAGAAAATTGGGAAATAAACTATAGGTTTATGGTGTTCTTGTGACCTTTCACCTTTATTTATTGAGAATTCTGTACTGAAAACAATAGATTCTATGCTCTGAACTGAATAACTAGGGACAAAAATGAGAATTTTCTTTTTGAGTTTGAAAGAGTTTTTCTTGAAGTATACAATGGATGCATCCTCTTCAATGTAACTAAATCAGATTGGTGATGCGGTGACTTCAAAAATCATCAAAACTCTTAACCCTCCTTATTTATTATAACTATCCGAACTACCAAATGACAATGTTTTACCTCAACTTAGACTTTATGCTGATCATATATAGCTATACCATCTATTGTTCTGCAAACAGATATTTCTTACTGAAAACTTCATGAATTTGTATTACTGTTAATTAAAATACCAAATCCTAGGGTGGGTATTTTGATACTTATTATAAAACACATTATTATATGGTCATATTGAAAGGTAAGTCTTTTTCTAAACATTTTTTTGTCGCCAGCCTTCTTTCAAAATATGAGGGTAGAAAAATAATCATTTTGCAAAAGGTTTTCACAGTCCTATGAGAATGTGCAAAAAAAATTAAGTTCACCTATTTGAATATAGGCACAGACAAATATTCTGAGACCCTACTTGTACTCATGATAAAAATTGCTATTTAGTAGAGAAAGAGATACATAAAATAAACTACGAAGAAACAGGTATAACTGCGTATTATTCCGAGTTGCTATATTAAACATCTACACGCCAAGGTGAATTCAACAAGAGGAAAGCTGGCAAAATGAAAATCACGATATCACATGTCGAAAAATGAAATAAGTTAAACCAAAATCTATATGATGATAACGAACTGATAGGAATAGCAACACATCTTAATCTAAGCACCTTTGACTCGTAATACACTAGAATCTGCTCTGCATAGCACAGTCAAGACAGAAACTGAACACGTATGTATCAAATATATCAACCATTTCAGATGATGGTTATAGCCTTATCGACTCACAGAACGCATCTACTTAATATGATAACAGACTAGATCCTCGAAGTTTTCACGAATTCCTCGTGTATAACCCCTAATCTCATATCAAAATAGTTGGAGATAGAACACATAGAAAATGCACTCAATTCTTCAAAGGTATACAGATATCTCACTGAAGTAAAAGGTAAGTGGATTGGTCAAAGTGCTCGCTCACTTTACTCCCTTTTTCAGATATTTTGGTGATCCTGAGTATGGAAAAAACCAGGTTAAGATAACAGTATTTAAAAAAAAAATAAGATAATGCTAAGAAAAAATCTTACCCAGAAGCAGATCGACGTCTCTCAGAAAATAGTGGGCTATTACTGTTCCGCATAGGAATATCAATTCCCAACTTCGATTGTATAACTTTGGAATTATAATGGACAGGTAGTCGATTTCGTCTCAGATCATGCTGTACAGATGAAACTGTTAAGTGTCGTTTGAAAAGATTATGTGGAGAAATACCATCACCAAGATGCAGTGCCTCTAGAGGTGCATTTAGACAATCATTGCTGCTATCAACAATACTTGAAATTACAGCAAGACTGTTATAAAGCCCATTACACTCGAAGTCGTCATTCACGTGATTGGAATTGGTTGATGTGAAGAAATTACTAAATCCCACGGAATGATTGCTTGACTTCTGCAGATAATCCAGATTATTCTTATCTAAAATATATATGAAAAGTTGTGTTTTAAAAATTCAAAAACAATTTAGTATGAAGAAGAAAATCCAACAGATTTCGAAAAAAGGAAAATATACGCTTTACGCAGTAAAACGAAGTATGTGACGAGCAGTCATCAATTCAGATAGACAGTGTCTCTATTTGGGCACGTAAGTAATTAGACGGGAAAATTATATATATATTTGAGAGGTAGCAATAAGCAATGATTTTTATGCAACAGTAGTAAATAATGATACATTGGCGGATAATGTCTTTTGGCAAATAATATTTTCCGATGCACTGCGATTGAGTCAGCTGAAGCGAATAGCTGGTAAATGCGTATGTTAGAAAAATAAAGATCACTTTCATGATTCTAAAAAAACAGAAACAAAAGAGTCTAGACAATCATAATTTTTCGAAAAAGTGTGACTACTTCGTACACCAAAACACTCGTAATCATCACAAAAACTACAAGACGACATTTAACTGAGGCAAGATATTTGACTACGCCAGCAAGCCATCCACGATGAAAGTACTAGACATTAAGTCACCCTTTGGCACTAAAACGATGCAGACATGTATATATGTCTACATAAGTCGCTTCAATTCACCTTCATAATTTCAACCAAGAATTTTAAAAACGTTCAAAGTGAACACTTCAGATTAATGTAGGACTGTAGAAAGGCACATAAATTACAAACACAGTGAAGATTACCACACACTGCTTGCTGTATTTCGATCGTGTACGAGTCATGCACTGTACTTGACTATATGTATTATAAGACCAGACTGATTAACGAAAAGAGTAGTTGATGATAAAAAAGAATAAATACAGAGGCAATTCAAAAGCCACTAGTCAAACTTGGCGATACAGACAGATACGATATCTAGAAAGCATTTATAACCAGTGACGGTAGTAATATTAGGAAGGAAATTGCAATAAAAGCCATTAGATAAACATAATTCATAGTTTTCCCACCAGAATCAGAAATAACTCACTACTACCCTGATTCTTGTGAATGCGGCTTTCATAAAGTGATATGGGATAAGGACGACTGTCAATTGCAAGCAGAAAGAAATCTGAAATTAGGTATAGTATTTGGTATTCAACCAAGGAATGTTGCATTCCATCACAAGTAAGGTGTTATAAAACTTACTAAATAGGTCTTCCATGCCTAGTATTTTTTTATTCATGCCTCACAACTATTAGTTGAATTGAAATTCATGCTCGAGCATAAAACCAAGTTCTTATAGATAAATAAGCATCACAATGACCATACGACATGGCTGAAAATTTGCTTGTAATAAGTGACTATGAAATACTCAACACATTCACAGCTAACTGCAGCTGTAGACAAAAAGTATGGTTGGTACTCATCATGAACTGACATCAGTCGGAGAAACATTGGAAACCTGGGAGCACTGGACAGCGACTTCGTCCTAGTATAGGACTCCTCAGCAGTGCGCACCCACGACCCCACCAGGGATCGAACTCAGGACCTTCAGGTTCCGTGGCCAGCACGCTACCATTGAGCCACTGGGTTGGGATCCAGTGGTCCATATTTCCAACTTCTGTCAGTTCATAACATAGCGCGACCATCACCCGTCATCGTTCAGTACTTGTCATCACGACCACCAGGTTTGTCCCACTGGACACGACTTCTCATTGAAACCTCAGGAATCACCTCTCGAGACTTCAGCTAGTACTAAACACTGAGGACTAGACAGCTACATTGGTTCATGAACAGTTTCCTTCTTTCTAAAACAAGTTGACTACTGTAACCAAATGATACCCTAAACACTGACTTCGATTGCTTTCATCAGCTAGATGGGAAAACTACATATTCAAAAAATATAGATGTCAAATGACACTAATTCGAATTCAAATGAATATGGAGATAGGTTTGTTCGATTCATAATGTAATCAAAAAAACTAGGAAACGTAACGCAGATATCTAAACACCGCAACTGTTACATTTACCAAGTTTTATTAATCCCTCAAAACCGGATAAAAGAGTATTGAGATACGATTCAGGAAAATCTACCCCAACCCCTCCGATATGAAAAAAGTGACAGTGAAAATATGGTGATAATATGAAAAAGTTAGTATGGGTTGAACTTAATTTTCACATTATCTCAGACAGCCGATTCCACGTCGATACCCGCCCTCCTATTTCTCATAATTTCATAAACTAAAATAAACTAACCAAACCAAATTAAGACTGTATGGTTTTCTTTCAACATCAACGCTTTTTCCTTTACAAAACTAAGAGTCACTGATTAGATAAGTGAAAGCTAATATAATAGCTTTGCTCTAAAACTAGTATGTGGTTACATCAAACTCTTGAACTCTGACTAAACAGATAGATTAACCAACTAAAATCGCTTCCGTCTCTTAAAGTATGCATGTACAACTACTGATTACACACATGTTAGACAGTATATTCAACTTTAGTTATCATAGGAACGGAATTTTACAAAGTGAAGAAAAATATTGAATTGTAACTGTTAAAAAAACCAATGATATGATATGCAAATTCGAAAAATTAAAATGTATTCATACAACATTGAGACATACTTTCGTATTTTCGAATAAAATTTGATTTCCTAGGCAGACGATTGAAATTCCTTTGGAAATGACGACCGCTCATCTGGGCATTAGTATAACGCTGTTCATGTGACCGCAAATCTGCGGTAGTATTTTCACAGGAACCGATGTGAACCGATTTCACATAAGGTTTATCTGCCACATTGCTATCCGACTTTGTGTTCATAAATGGCCTTACCTGAGGACCACAATAAGAACCAGATGATATATCACGACATCTATCAGTATTTACTCCAATAGGTGAATTTGTGAATGTTGCAGCTGAAATGCAAATTAGGATAACAGTTTCATGATTTTTGTTAAAGACAAAAAAACATTTACACAAAAACATGTCATGAGAAAATGCAAATTTACTGTATGCCGAAAAAATAGTTTATCCTAGGAAAAATAAAATCTACAAGCTATTTGAGTGAACAAAGAATATTCTTTTCGATAACTTCTTTCTCAGGTTCTACATACAGTTGTATGTACATATTGAGGAATTATGCGTCAACAATATCGAGATTTCGCTTATCAGTTTGTTAATAACATTATACAGTTGAGAAAGTGAATTCAGAAAGGTCTTCTGCGCACGGTAATGATAAGATCAATCACTACTAGGATTCAAATCAAAATGGTTGATTATCTAAACGAATATACGACGTAGGAAATACTACAAGGCTATAGTTTAGTGGAACAATAGGAAGGTGTTTATAAGAGTTGGATGAAATAAACTGAGAAAGATAATTTGAACAATAATGACTTGTAGAATGTTGCTCATGTTGGGAGACAAAATAGATTAAGAGAATTTGATAAAATTATTTCAGATTATAGGGATAAAGAAGTATCTACAGTATGCAATTAGATTATTTAGGGTAGGATGTTGGAGAATTTGCGAATCTAATAATTCCCACTGCAACATTAAGAACAAGAGATTCAGCAAAGAGACTCTTTCTACGAGTTTATTTTCAAGCTGTAAATTCGCATATATATTTGGAAAATTATATCCCGCAAGATAAATAACAAATAAATGGTAAATTATATATATATATATATATATATATATATATATATATATATATATATATATATGCGAATGCACAGCTTGAAAACAAATTTGTCGAAGAGTCTCTTCGCTGAATTTGTGAATTCTGGGTCGCGTCAAATATCTTTCTAAATAACTTCAGACCAAGTGATTGACAATTCCTATAAAAGAAATCTTCATTTGTAGATTTCACCAATAAATATCATTTTTGTTTAAATTAATGGAAACGTGGAACCATCCTCAAAAAACCGCATAAACTAACAGCGATCGGACGATTCGGTTCAGTAAGTCAAAGCAAATGATCACAAGCTATAACATTAATACATAAATTACTAATCTCACAAAATTATAATGCATATATTTCAAAACTTGGTAAATACACTTACATGGAAACAATCGCATTGTTGATTCACATAATCCCTGACCAGTAAACCAATCAGAATCCACGTGAACCACATGTTTCATATCTGTAGGGGTGAGATAAGAGGTATTCCACCCTGACTACAACCCACTCTACTAGATGTCCTGCGGGAATTCTGTAAAGTTTCATCAAGAACAGATGTATTTAAATCTGAGGAACTATTTACAGCTCCTTCAAACTGTGGTCGATTGCTAACAATACTGTGTAGAGTTGATAGATCGTTTGCGATCCTGTCCTTGAAAACTACTTGTGAAAGACGTGCTTGAATTGATGCAATCATTATCTGCAGAATATGCATGTCCATTACTTCCCCATCGTCTAAAAAGGCTACAACGAACGGACGCTTTCTAGGTGGAGGTGGTTTCGGCTGAGCAATTTGATTTGCATGAGTTGGATCTTTTAAGTGATTAGCAGCTAGAACAGCCAAAAGCATGAAATGTTGCTAAA